CGGCAGAGGTGAGAATACTAGCTTCAGTTTTGGCGTTTGTTGCGGATGAAGCAGAAAATCATCCATGGCGTCATTGTGGAAATATTCTCCAAGGTGTTAGTAAGTACCAGGAGTCTAGAGCAACTGGGTACCTTTTCCCGAAGGAGGCGACCAGGCTATTTACCCGGGTATACCAAGCAGTGCCTCACTTTTCAAAAGGGATAGATAGTAATAGGTAGTAGTAGTAGATAGATATTACCAAGTGCCTGACTTGCGACTGCCATACTTCATGCTGGCATACCGTTGTAACCCAAACTTCCTCTATATCATATCTGCAAAACATTTAGGGTGGGAAGAAAAGAAATTAATAGGAATAAAAACAAAATTCAAGAAGAAAAAAGGATGTGATTCCCCCCCGTTTAACGATACACCTGCACTATTCAGGAAATAGGTCTTAGCTTCCGAGGCGGTTGACCAGGTTGACCCAGGCAAGGTACCTCGTAACGCCTAAATTAGTGCCTGCCCACCTGATGATGATGCTGCTGCTGATGATGATTGTGATTCCACATTCTGATGGTTTATTACAATTACGACAAACCGCGAACTGTCGGAACTCCATACATCCATACAGAACCGGACAGACAGAACGTGACAAAAGTACACGGACCACTTCATATAATCCATGATTGGCTCGCGGGAACCAGGATAGCGACATCCGCGGGCTTTTCAGCAGCAGGTCGCCGCAAAGGGTAGGCGGATGCTATTGGCCCTGCCAGTCAGCAGCGGTACTTTTATTTAGCGCCCGTACTAGGTTTACCCCAGCGGCGAACCACCCGGTTGCCCTGTGGGATCCTCGCCTAGTAGTGGAGAGGAAGTACTTACTTGCTGCCCAGACGCCTCCGGTCTGCGGTATTGACAATGTTTACTTTCTCATGGCCCGAATTAGCACTTGTTTTGATGTATTTTATTTTCCTCTTTCCTTTTTGTGTTTTATTTTACCCTTCTGTTTTCTGTGTTTTCTCTTATGATACTCATTACTTCCCTTTCCCACCCCCTCCTCCTCTCACATTACGCCCATAACTTGTAACCAACAGAGTTAAAGTCGAAAAAAAAAAAATTGCGTCTATTTCCCCAATTGGACAGGGAATCAATGACTTACTTTACTTCCCGAATGTTTCATTCCAAAGCTGCTGTCTTCTCCTGTTTGTTGGCATCGTTTGGTTGGGAGGAAAGGATCCAGATGGCCGGTCAGCCAACGTACATTACTCTTACTGACATGCATACCCCGTAGTACTACTAACCCACCCGCTGCTGGCTCCTCGTCAATTAGTCTAATTATTTTTCCCATCAGCAGCAGCCAGAGAGTAATAGTTATGGTTGCTATTATTATTTAGTTGTGGTAGTATTATAATTTATTATTATTACTCTCGCCATTACTTACTACTCCTTATTTTCTTTTCCCACTGATTTTTCCAGACTAAGATTATCGCTATTGATTTTATCGCCTTGGCTGGCGGTTGTCGAACACTGACAACTTGACAGCACTTGACTTGACTTGACTTGACAGAACTGACAAGACTAACTAACTAACTAACAACTACTTTTTTTTTCTAATTTACTTTACTTACTTACATACTCTTTCGGTCTCGCTGAAATCCCCCGAACTATATCACCACCAATTCCCGCCCTCCGCAGAACACGATCTACTCCCACCAGCTAACTGCTAGTAAGACCGCGACCCTGTTTCGCGCCTGCTGCTGCTGCTTCTTGCTGCTGCCTTTGGCTTCATCAGCCTCCGCCGCTGCTAGCTAGTCTAGTTAACTACTTACTACTCTTTCTGGTTACCCTGACACAATTCCCCCTCTCCTGACGACGTCTCTTCTCCTTACGGCTTTCTGTCTGCATAACCACTTCGCCCTCCTACTTCACCTTTTTTTTATCTTCGACCTTACTATTTTCCTCAAGTTATCTATCTAGCCTCTCCACTTTCTACTCCCGTCTTCCCTCTCACCCTTTTCCTTACTCTCTTTTCAACTACTCTTCCCGATCTCTGCTGTGATATCGAGCTTCCGCCTAGCTGATTTGCACGTCCCGCTTCGATTCAGAGTATGGTTGACGAGGAATATCCAGTGACTAATTCATGATGGATGGTTCCATTCCGCCGCCGTCCACCACGACCACCTCCACCACCTCCTCCATCACTACCATTCCAACCTCCTCTTCATCAACCGTTTTCCGACCCCGCAAATCAGAGGATTGGAATGAGTATCGCACGGCTATCGAGAGTCTCTACCGAGACAATCAGCTCAAGCTCCGTGATGTGAAGAGGATCATGGAGCGTGACTATAACTTTGTTGCATCGTACAGCCTCCATTTCTCTTATTTGCCATTTCTGCCCTGTTTCTTGCCTTTCCCACTCGCCCTCGTATTTGTCATTCTTCTCACTTATTGGCTTGCATTGCTTGTCCCTCTGCAGCAATATGCTGTTTCTTCCTTTCACCACCAAAAGCGGAAGAAGAGGACAGTGCGTCATTGTTATTGATGTTGCTTTTTTCTTTTATTTCCCTTCCCTTCCCCACTCCTGGACGAATCAGCTTGGTTATAGGCTTCCCCTGACATTCAAACTTTCTAGAGAAAAACAATACAAAGATCGCCTGGCTGCATGGCATGTCCGCAAGAATATCAAGGCCAAAGAAGTCCATGTCATGATCCGAAAGCAACAGAAACGAGCGGCCCGAGGCAAGCAAACAGGTTTTCGTGTTGCTGGGCAGGAAGTCGACTCCAAACGCATCTCACGCTTTGTCCGTAGATATGGATCGAACATGGAGGCCAATAATTCCCGCGAGGACCCTCCGCACAGTCCTCAGGGCCATCAGATCATCCAGCCCGTCCAGCCCGTCCAGCCGATCCAGGCAACAAGTCCCGAACCAGGTAGGATGCTCCCAATCCGCCCCTAGTGCTGCAATTACTCATGTTAGTCGCCAGAAACTCCCTCCGATATGAGCTATTTTACCCCACCACCAGAGGAACGAGCAATGACATTATCACCTTCAACAGAAACACCGTCACATTTCCGTGAGATCCCCCACCCCTCTGTTGGTTTCTCTTGCTATTCTACTACATGCCCCGCCAGGTATTTTGTTGGTTTTTAGCAACATGCAGTCGGGATGGTGGAAGATTTAATTGACTAGATAACACAGATGACGATCCACCCGAACCAGTTCGTAATCCAGGAATTGGCAGCGCGCGATCTTTATCAGTCTCATCCGGAACTATGACCAACGACATAACGAAACCAATGACTGACGGGGTCCAGGGGCCAGATGGCTGGATGACCCTCGAGATGTTCCAGGAAAAGCTTTTGAAGCTTTCGAGAACTCTCGATCAATCAATGTCCCGATTTGTTCCTGCCGAGGATCGCAGCCACCAGCCCTCCAATTCTGACCAGCATTCTCGCTCAATTGGGCAGTGAGGAGGAGGATGAAGAACATCAACGTCATTGGACGAAAACATAGAAAGATCTTGGATATCTGTCAACATCCTTATACTCTGCTATATTCTGTTCTTTGGCAGGTTGAGTCGATTGCCTCCTTCTCCACTTGGTGTCCCCTCTGTAATATTCCACTTTATTTTCCTTTGTCTTTTATTTCTTTCCTTCCCGTTCATTTATTTCACAGAGTGCCGACTATATAGAGCATCCATGGCTTGAAAATATTGGGAAATCGGTATAATGTAGGTTGCGATACACCCTTAAGATGAAAGAAGATTGCGGTTTTTTGCGGTGACATCTGCGGTTGTTGGCTGTTGATGGTATAAACATTGTCTGACTTGTGACTCTAGTGACCTCATTACTACATCCTTCAGGGAGTGCAGCAAACCTTGCTCGGCGAATCCTTCGGCCCCTACTACGATAGTTCGTTGAATGCGATCCAGGGAAGGACCCCATTATGCACTTCTGGACATCGGTCGGTATCCACAGCTCGTACGGATACAACCGTGAGTTCAACTGTTGCCACGGTCGGCCTTCCATCTGAGTTACTCCCAAATATAAGGCATGACTGGCAGTGTTTTCTATCGGACCAGCGGTTATACTTCTCGCTCAATATCTCAATACCTGGTACCCAGTTCAAAAAAGCATACTGATTACGAGACAAGTGGATGAACATGGAGAAGGATGGCATGGCACATTCTGCAATGGCGTGAAAGGCATAATCGCCCTCACGGTGCTTGGGCTCAATACGAAGGCTCACAGACTCTGGCATCAATTCCGATCGTCACATTATACCACAAGGCAAACCATGCACTGGTCCATCGCCGAGATTAGGGAACCGATTCTTGCTGTCTCCCTCCAAGATTCAGTAGATCGGCCATCCTTGCATTTTGTTTTATGGGTTGGCTTTTCTGGTTTGATCATGCCAGCAGAGCATCCAAATATCGAGAGAGCATGCAGAATTACTGGGACTGTCGATCGTCCTTGTTAAATTATCCATAAGTATAATTTGATATGCTAGCACCACGGCTGTCGATCCAGTGATGACAGAAGATATGACCCGATCGTGCATCACTCTATCTACCATGGTTGAGCACAGGCAACAGCGATCCGTGACGAGTCCGAATAGGGAGACATAAACAGTCAACGCACAGTGATTGGCTCCTGCATTTAGCTGTAGTGCAGTCGTGGTCGGACCATTACTTCTAGACCAAGTCAACTTTTGGGCCAAGTCCTTCATACCCTGCTGTACCACTAACATAGATCAATCTTTCTATTTCGGGTCTCTTGAAGTGGCTAGGGCCCGTGGACAGCAAGACCGGGATCACAAAAGAGCATAGCCCGAAAAGGGAGAAGACTGGTAGTAAGGAAAAAGCAAAGGCCCATGGAAGAACCAAAAGCAAGCGATTCTACAAGGCCCAGGAAACGATATCCGCTACAGACACGGCCTGCCAAGAATGACCAATGGGAAGGCGAAAACAGGGGCTGATGTGAGATGATTGTTTCCGATGCGGCAGCCGAGCCCGACTACCTACAACTTGATTCCAGTGAGCGCGTGCGCCTGGCCTAATTGCTGGGGCTGCTGAAAGTCGATGAATAGCAGCAGATCGGAGGGGCGAAGCGCATCGGTGGTTTTGGATTCTTGATGAGGCCGTCGCTGATCCTCAAGCCCGCGGACGCTAGCTCTCTTAGTCCCTGTCAGTCTATCAGAGTCAGTGCATAGACTAACTACTCGCTCATCCTCACTCGCCTGCTCCCTCACAGGCTTTGATATTAATAATGTCATTGGGGAGATTTCAAATTACCCTTCACGTCGATAGCTCATTTGGCTTCTCCTGTCGCCCAAAATGAGGGCGTCATACTGATTTCCCGCAATCTAGAAGCATCAGCTCCCTACATCTATCTACCTTAATTTCGTTTTGATGTATTTTCAATATCTACAGATCATCTACCAACCTGTACTTATGACTGGAATCACAAAGATGTACCTTCTCTCTATGATGTAGATGGCATGCCAAAAGTACGCATTGGGCCATTGGGCAGCAACTACACCAATTGAACACATGCCCTGATCCCTATTTACTCATCGAATTATTCGTATATTATTATTTAGTAACAGGCCAATTTAATCAATCTCCTCCTTCCCCCTCCCGCACCATTTGGACTAAACTCCGTGGATGCCTCAGATCTGCACGATGATGTCAAGTCAGCTAAAGCCTCCGTACTTCCCGTCTTGCCCAGTAGTTAATTAGCTAGCTTACTTAGTTCCTTCTTCCTTTCCACCATCACCACCACCACCCACCGCAATAACGTCATCGAAGACAGTGATAGATCCTAGTCCCATGGAATTAGAAACATAGAGACTGACAGTATCAACGTATCTAGCCAGCTGTTTTCAGAATTACTAGCTGGGAGGGGAACTCATACTACATACATACATACACAGTGCATGCATGTTAGTGACGCAATTCGATACACTACTACGCTCTCTACCCTACTCAGCAGTAGTATCTAGTAGTATACTAAGTTGGGTATTTAGTTTCCTTCAGCTACTAACTAAATAAGCTAATTGAACTGGATGGCTAATTACTTACTTACTTACACAATGGCCGCATGATATGATGATCAAGAAGTATCGCTATGGTTGTGTATGTATGTATGTTTACCTTTAACTATTTCCTGAGCAGGTCCGAATCTTTTCTTCGGGTGGGGGTGTTGATGGCATTGATTTTAGTTGAGTTGGGCTTTTTGTTGATAGATGGATGGGTGGATGGGGCAATTGTTGATGGATGGAGGAGATGTTGGATGGACATACATACATACGCAGGATAGATACTGGTAAGTTGGAAAGAGTGAGTGGCTGATAGAGAGTACTGGTGATTAGGGAGGGGTGGAAATGAAGGGTCTGCTATACTACTACTACTACTATTCCGTTTATATCGAATTAGACAGATGGGCTAGGCTGCCCGGTGAATGACAAAGTGTGTGCCACGAAACTAATTGATTACTAGTTATGTATGTATGCTGGATTGGATAGGTAGTGAGCAGGGTAGGCCACATGTCGATTGTACTTCTTACAAAAAGCCGAAGGTGAAAAAAAGTAAAGATAGATAGTAGATTGATGATGATGAATATACTATATTTCGTTCCCACTGCATGAGATAACCATATAGGTAAGAGAGAAAAAGGAAGGAAGAGAAAGAAAAAAAAAGAAAGAAAAGTTAAAGGAGATCTTTCTTTTTTTGCGCTGAAACAAACATGCACCGGAAAATGATGACTCAATCCCTCGAAGAGAATAAGAAAGTAGAAAAGAAAAAGGAAACATGCCCATATACCAGGTACCCAACGCTAGACAATCCAAATCCGGTAATCCGGGGACAATAACAATAGGGGACAGAAAATAAAAGAAGAAGAAAAAAAGTAATGGTAATAAGTCATCATCAGGCGGTCAACCTAGGTCCTGCCACGTGCTTCGCGTGGTTCGTAACATACAGACATGCATGCATGCATGCATGCAGTCAGTCATGCTGGGGTGTGCGGGTGAGTGTGCGTGTTGGAAGTGTAACTATGATACTATAGATATGTGTATGAGGGAGATTAATGGATGGATGACGCTCATGAGTAGAAAGCGCTCTTCTGGAAGCTCTCGGGCGAAATATCACCCATCTTGCCCTTCAGTTCGGGCTTCTTAGCCTCCGCGGCCATCTCCTCAGACGCGCTCGCCTGCATCGAGTTGCTGCGACTGCCGGCTTCGCTGCCCGAGGTGATCGCTTGCTGTTGCGGACGGCGCTGGATGGTCTCCAGGTACGGTCCGGGCAAGTATCCGACGCGGCCATCACGGGCACGGCAACGCCACCACTCCGAGGCATTACCCATCGGATCGGATTTACTAAGGACAGCCACGATGTCGCCCTTCTTCACGGCCAGGTCGATGCCGGAGCTCTCCTGGGCTTCAGGGGTATAGTCGTAGAGCACACGGCAGAAGTCAAGCTTGGAAGGGTCGAGCGGTGCACCCTGGCCCTGCACGGGCTCCCCGTTGGGACCCAGCATCAGCTGGCGACGCTCCTCTTGCGACCGAGCAAGAGCCTTGATCAGCTTGCCCATCAAGTAGGGAAGACCGAAGACGGCGATAAGGAACATGAAGAACGGCTTCTTAGAGGGCTTGGGGGGAGCGGGAGTGCCATCCGGCAGGGTGGCGGGGGAGGAGCGGCCGCTGAGGAATGCTGCAAAGGCGGACGGAGTGAGGGCGGTGGCATCAGCCGGCGGGGGACGACCGGTGATCTTCGCGATCAAGGTCTTGAACCAGCGGATGATGGTGAAGATACCGAGGGCGGAGCCAAGCGTGTTTCGGAGGTTGCCGAACTGCTCTGCTACGGAGACCATGGCTGGACAACTGTTAGTGAGAGGACAGCAACACGCATAGACAAAGGTATTAACGTACCAAAGAAGGAGCTGTGAGTCGCCATGTATGTGCTCTCCAGCATCTGAGCGAATCCTCCAAACGCACCCACGATACTCTCGATCATCTGAAACGTAGCTTGGGTGTTTTGGCTAAAGGAATTCGTCAGGCTGTTGGGATCATTGGGATCACCGGGCATCCCGCCGTACATCCCTCCCATGCCTCCCATACCACCATACATGCCGCCATAGCCTCCCATGCCACCGTAGCCTCCGTACATGGAGCCCATGGTGCCGAAGCGGGAGTACGGCGACGAGTAGCTTCCGTAGCCGCCGTAAGGACTTGCGCCGAACCGGGAGGCCGAGTAGGGAGAATAATTGGAGGCGGTGCGATTGACAGCGGAATTCAGGGTATTAGGACGAGACGGTAAATCGGGAGCAGTAGATGTCGAGGATGCTGTGGCTGTGGGGGCCGAGGCGCTGGCGGCCGCGGTCGGAGTAGTCGAACTGGCCGTCATCGCGGATGAGGCGGTCGGAGTAGCCGCCGATGATGTTGCCAAAGCAGGAGACCCTTCAGAAGTGAGTGACATGTCAGCTACCCCGTATGCAGACAGATGCAAATGTGATTTGTTGTTGTATTGTGTTCCAAGAGAGCTGTGGACATACCAGCAGCAGCGCCTGCCCTCTCCCACGGTTTGGGTGGCGAAACGGACGCCATGGATATGCGGGAGGGGTTTGGTACCTCAGCAATCTCGCATGGAGATGGACCTCACAGAGGAGGCCAGTCAAAGCGAGAGCGAGAGCGAGAGCGAGAGGTGGGAATAGCGCGAAAGAAGGATTTGGGGGGTTGGGGGGTGAGAGTAGTCTGGGGAAGAAGAGAGGGGAAAGGGGAGAAAGAGACAGCCCGGGCGATAGATTGGATGGATTGGATGGACTGAATGTGATGAATGAATGAATGAATGAATGAGAGGCGATGGATGGCGATGGAGATGGAGGCGGTGGAGAAAAAGCCAGAAAAGAGGAGAAAAGGTCGCATGTGGTCCCGATGGACCGAGGCTTCCCGCTTGCCGAGTTAAGTCCCCGGTGATGATTAGTTACCACCTATCTATCTCTAAGTAGTTAGATTAACATTCAGTAGATAGTTACTTATCTATCGAGTGGGATATTATATTTGCTGTCCAAATTATCTGAATGTAATATATCACCATCAAATGCTCAGGCCCATTGCTTGAAAAAATGAAAATGTACAGCGGCCTAAATGCTCCCAGAACTCCCGAGATGCGATTTTCCAACAGGCATCGTCAACAACGCCGGCCCAAACAGATCGGAAAAAGATTTAGTCCTCCACGACGCTAGTTATACAATACAATCCCAGTCACCGCCATCTTCCACGTCTCCCAACTTCTAGTGTCTAAAGCTCCTCATGGGTTGGGGGTGTCGGAGGGGTGGGTCGCTTGGGGAGCTGGATCCTCCAGGACCGTGGTGGCACAGGCAGACCCAGCCAGTAGTTCCATACCCGAGCGATTTCCAGGACGGCGATTTCAAAGCTGCAACACCTAGTCAGTATACAGAAACAACAGCGAACGTTATCGGGCGCCATCACTTACAATGTCTTCGGTGCATTGACCCAGCTCTTCAGCACGTAGACGAGAATGTCCCCGATCATAGAGAGCTCGGCCTTCATGTCATCCCAGGCCGTATCAGTGTCGCGGCGTACTCGGACCTTCTCCCACGGAAGCTTCTCGGTGATGTATACAAAGTTGTCATCATCGCCATCCTCGTAGTAGAAGGTCGAGCCACCGTCTTTGAGAAGTCGTCGGGTCTTCTTCTTGCCACTGCGATCCTTGGACGCAATGCTTGCGGGAATGGTGAAGACCTCCCCATCGCCCACATCCATGGCCCGGTGGAAACTCCGGACGGCCGCAATGCTGTGAGAAATGCGACCAAGGGTGTTGATCAGTGCCACCAGCTCGGTCCGGCGCAGCAACGGGTTCTCGCCATTCTTGGTCTCGTCGTACTCGAACAGCACCTTCAGAGCGGTGCCATACCCATTCACTTGAAGCTTGCCCCAGAGGCGGCACTTATCGCATCCGACACAGTCCATCAGGCGACTGACATTGCGAAATCGGTTGCGGAAGTCTTCCTTCAAGCCAGCAGCGCTGGGGTCCTGGAACATGAGGTTCTCGTCGAAAATTTGAGGACGATCAGCCAAGGTCGAGGTCAACTTGGAGACCTTCTCCCTAGTCATGGCATCCTGGATCGGATCACTGACGCAGTAGTTGTAGTTGTGTAGGTGTTTCTGCAACTTTGCCACGGCGCGCGAGACCAGCGCGTAATTGAAGTACAGATTCGAGATGCGCTCGGGGTGATCGTGGAGGCGATCTTTGAAACATTGAAGGTTGGGATGCCATTGCCCCGTCGTCTGATTGAGGTAATCCCAGCAAAGGTGGGTTGAGATAGACGCATGCATTCCACTGATGAGACGATGGAATACGCGCTTCTCGAGACACTCGTTGTCCAAGGGAAGCAGGTCCGGGCGCTTCAGCTCCTGCTGGAGCACATGGCGGAAATCGTTGACCGCTTGAAGACCACCCAGCTGAGGGGTCACAGGTGACAGCTCTGGCACCGGTTTGAGGAAGCAATTCTCCCGATAGATTGCGTCCCAAACCTGGTGAGCGCCCATACCGGCGTACCCCGTGAACCGCTCTGGATTATCAACGAGACTGACATAGTCTCCCTTGCCGCTAGCACCCTCATCTTCGGGAACACAGTAGTCCCGTTCGTCACATTCATCATCATACTCCACCACACAACTCTCTTTGACATTTTCACCTAACATTCCCTGGAGCGGTCGATTAAGAGGTCGCTCCTTTCGCTGATTGCGGCCCGGATGGCCTGCTTTAGGTCCCTCGAGTTTACTAAGCTCCTCCGCGCGCCATGTTAACGGGATGTCGTCCTCTGACTCGATTGTGTTGACGGAGCATGCGATGTTCCCGCACATGCTATTCGCATCGTTCCAGAACGGACAGACTTTGTTGAAGAGGTTCAGACGGTAGTACGAAAAGAAATCGGTATCTTGCGTAATGGATTGGAGGAGGGTGTAGACTTGATCGTTCAGATGATCGATGGTGGCGTAGGAGACGCAAGCGTCAGACACCATGGCAGTGGGGTCAATCTGGTAGAGATGAGAATGGATCAGCCAAGTCTGGTCTTCAATATGCAGCCAAAGCGCATGCTCGAGCGTTGTATCGACTTACCGCACACTTGTCCTGGTTATGGTGCAGCCCAGTCTCGGCATTGGAAAGCCTCGACAGGGCAAATACCGCCAGATAGAAAATTTTGGCTGCGGAGCGCATCTTGGGATGGCCGGAGACCGGCGGAAACGAGTGGACAAGAACGTAGGAAAGGATCGGAGTGTATGACAGAAACTCGGAGTGTATAGAGTGAAGCTATGCAATGAAGGTTATGGTAGGTAAGCCAAGAAGCAGGGTCCTTCACATGTAGATCAGCGACGGAAGGGAGGCCTGGATTGTCAACGGTCAATCGCGATCAGGCCAAATGACATTTCCCTGCACAAGAGGTGATGCAATTCCAACTGCAGCAAAAGGAAGCAAAAACGAATGATGGGAATAAAGAAGCAGGTGGAACGAGGGGACTTGAGTATTCAAGGAATGTCCGTTGCGAAGTGGACAAGTTGTCCTTGGTGGCGCGGAGTTGCATGATCCGCAAGTAGTCATCAATAGTCATCAAATCAATTCCATCTCCGCCGGCTTATCGCCGCCAACAAAAACCCTTGTTTCAGACAGCTCCCCACTGCGATGATCCACGGTAGTCTAGATATATCTGCCTATACCTTATAGAAAGTGTTTACAAATCGACTTTCTGTCTTTGTTCTCTTTGCTGTTATTTTTGGGGGGTTGGCTCGGTACTTCACAAGGATTTCAATATAGTGGTTTATTCAGCGATCGCAACTCGCAACGTTAATGTCCTTGCATCAGCTGACGGATTAGGATAACGAGATCAAGATCATGCTGTCGCATGGCCGTGTTGGTAAGATTAAGGGGCGTCAGGAGCGATTTGGAGTGCTATAACGGTCACGGTACATGATGATGCCACGCTTCAATATCGGGTTGGTTAGTTTCATTAGTTATTTCGCTGAGTAAATATACAGACCGATAAGGGATTACTTACTAACTAGTAAATCGAGTAACTATGCCATGCGCTTTGACGTGAAGTCATACAGGTTCCGCAGGCTCTAGGACATGTCAGATGCATGTCTCGCAGGTTACTTGTTACAGATAGGAGTATGAGTAGTATATTTAGTAGTGTGCAATACAACACACTGGATGAATTGTTACGCTAACGCGGCTCCGTATGGGGGACAAATGACTACGCTGTATGCACTCTACAGTGTTCATTGAGCAGTGGCAGATTGTAGATCGTCAAATTTGACTGTCAGACAGCAGAAGTAAGAACAACCATGGATATTCCCAATTCAAACCCATCAAAGGGGGCTGTAGCAACCATGAACGCCTTCCACCGTGATACTCCAGGCTTCAACTCCGAGCGTGACACATCATGTCATACCGTAATCACCGAGGTCATGACCGGTGTAGCAGGGGAATCATGGTAAAATAAAATACATATGGAAAAATACGCTCCAAAAATCATCAAAACCCAACACCAACTCTCGCCGCTCCATCAGGGAGACGCGGTCTTATAGACGAACCAACCGCAAATGCATGTTGTAGTGCGGCCGTATACAAAAAGTTTGAATGAACTGGTTTAAGAAGTTCCGCTGCGCTTGCGACGACGGATACTGAGCGCTTTCCGGAGCGAGGCGAATGGCTTGGGGTGGGGTGCATTGTAAAAGGGGTCCTTTTTGAAATCCTCATCGGTGAATTTCTAGAAGGATGTTAGAGCTTGTTGCAAATCAGTGCACAGCAAATCAGGAACTTACTTGACCGGGACAACGCATAAAGTTTCCATAGTCGTTCATCATGTTCGGCCCCTCCTCGTATTCGTAGGTGCGGCCCTCCATGTCTGTGTGACCTGGAGGGTAATAAGCCACTCCGTCCAGAGGACGGTGACTATCGATGCAGTCCCTAATTTTATCTTTCGGAGTCGCCTTCAAGGTCTCCGCAGTTGAATCTTTGACTGCCTCGACGGGGCTCTGGTTGGTGTGGTAGTTCCTCTCCGCATAGACAGCATCGTAGGGCCCCTCGTGATGGTACTGGCAGAGACTCGCGCTGTCCAGACGATCAATGACGTCTGGATTGACCAGCATCGAGTTCCTCGAGTATCTGGCTGGCTGAGGGTTCGACGGGCTGCCATGACGACGGCGCCGAGAACTACTCTCCTTCTTCCGTCGAGGCTCGACGGGGTGATGCTCCGGAGAGCCCGAATAGTAGACGGAGGGGAAAGACGTAGAGCGCTGACGGTTCAAGGACCGCCGACTGGGAGAGGGAGAGTGGAAGCGTTGGTAGGATCCATACGAATCCATTTCAACGCCCATGTCCATCAGGTTGGAAGGATACCGATGGGAGTAAGAGGCCCGGTATGGGGTCGCACAGGCTGGGAGAACGGCGGACGCCATAGTAACTGGACGCCGGAGGAAGAAGTGAAAATACGAAGGGAGGAGAGAAATGGAGAGAAAGGATGTCTCTCAAAGGTTGGAGGATGAGAGTTAGGTATATATAGGGACAACGGGATGCCCTATAAATGTATGTAGGCGTTTAATAGTATTGCCTACTAGTGACTGCCTGCGTCTGCAGCCCGTAACTCAAAAGAGTGGTGGGGCTTAGCAGCGGTGAAGTCGGGTATTGATTATAGAGTTGGGGAGTAACGTTGAAGCTGCGGTCTGTGTGGTTATGAGTGTGGCAGAGTAGGTTTGGAAGTATGAGAGTAAGCAGTATAAGTTGATTTGCAAGGTAGTGGTTGTTAGATGGGAGTAGTAGGAAGAAGTATGAAGAGGACGAGAGGAAGAGGACAAGAAGGAGAGTAAAAGAGGCGAGAAGAGCAGAGGGGAGAGTCATAATTCATCATGTTATTTAGGCTCTGGTCATCGCTGGTCATGCAAGTGCAAAGCCGAACCGGTGGACCGTGACGTGACGAGTAGCGCCGCATTGCTTTTCCATTTGCTCACTTTGCTTCCACGCGATCCGGGGGTGGGTTTGTACTATTACGCCTTATCGATAAGGCTAGAGTCTACTACAAATGAGTACGTACGATCAAGACTAGACCGGTTCGGTTGCATCGGATGTCCTCTTCGATGATGAAAATACCTGGGCAACATCTCCTGTTGTCGAGTCTTAGTTAGGACTTTGCACTGAATGCCCTCATTCTGTAGGTGCGCGGAAGGCTCGGGCCCCAGGGCACTTCCCCTCCGCCCCTCCCGGTTCTAGACTTGAAGAACCAGTCAGGATGGCCCAGGCTGATATTAGTAAATCACCATGGAACCTCTAGAAGGTCCCTGAGGGATTCTAGTGGAGTTGCAGTGGCAATTCTCACCGTCATGATTGTCGTGTCGTCGTCAGCTGTGGATGCCCAGGGCCACCATCCACCGGCTGACTAAATCATTTGCACCAACTTCCTCTGCAATTGGAGTCTTGACATCATAACCACCAGACTTCCCAACCCCAACTGACTGCGACATCCTGCAAATTCCTTCTGGCATTCAATTTTACATCATTTGAAAGAAACAGGTTGAGTATCTTAACAGGAGATGTACTGACTTGATTATTTTATCAAGTTAACTAGTGACCTACGGAATAATACCCACTATGCTGAGTGAGCGAGCTCCAGCTCCGTCTTTAAGCTTATCTTTAGTGACCACGATAGCGCCAACGGCGGGCTGGATCTAGCCCTGCTAGTCTTGAAACAAGTTTTGGTTTGCGACTAAAAAGCACGCGCCAGTATTAACATCTGCATGCTTCTGACAGGCGCTTCTACGAGTTGCTTGTTACACACTCATCCACGCACAAAGTAATTTGATGGTCCGCATCGCATGTTAGCCTGCGACGGTCTGCATGGGCGACCCAGTGCATGGAGAATGTGTTACACAGGGTCTAGATTTGTCCTACGAACCTTCAGGGACTAGAAGTATTGCAGGCTTATAATTAGAAACGAGCCAGGTGTAATGAACGCATATTGCCAGGTACATTCGGTCTACTTTCTCTCCCTGTCAGGGGGGGCTGAGGTCCATCCATGGATAGGAGCCCCAACCCTTGCGAGGTGACATGGATAATGCGAACAAGCTTCGACGTAATCCATCCAATATGTGCCCGTACCCCTGCTGCTACGGAGTCTTCTGGGCAATAATTAATGCTAACAAACAAAGAGTCGATGAAGTATCTCGCTATTGTCCTCGCTCACCTTGTGGTCCCTTGTGCTCCGATCCCTATTGACCTCTGCTGAGACGGACGCCTCAGCGTACAGAGTAGACATTTGGAGCCACCATAAAAGTAATCGAGAAAAAAAAAAAAAAAAAAAAGGCATCTCACAACAGATCATTCTTCAGAATCAAAACCATGATGTGTTCTGTTCATCTGCTAAAAGTCCACTCCAATCTAGAACCCCTTCCAGCTCCAACTGACGAGTCTTGGCAGCCCTACCCGTAAAAAGCAGAGTTTCAATACGGACAGCCCGGCTCCACCATGCCGACCCGATGGAACAACAATTTACTACTCCAACTGCGGCCACCAAATTCATCCTGGATGACCACTTCCAACCAATGTCCCTGACCCTGTAATGGCTTTGGTGCAATATTCTGAATCTGAATCCGAAGCAGAGAACGAGCCCCCTCAGCCCCCAGCAAAAAGGCCCCGTCAAGCCGCCAACAATCCATCTTCCTCACTCCCACCCTTACCAGCCGCTTTTCACGATCTCTATGCCTCCGGCACTCGTGTCAGCGTGACCGACGACCCCAGTCTCCACGGAGGCCGAAAAAGGGTCATTCCCCATGTTGAAGGGAACTGGCCGACCCACATCTACTTGGAGTGTATGTGTCATCCATCACCACCACCAGCATCCTCTGGCAGTAATTAGGTTCTCGAGAACGGAAATAACAACCGTATGACCAATCTACAGGGTATCCATCCAAAGATGAGCTTTCTATTCTTAGCGATGTCATAGCGCAGATCAAGGATAGGCTCGATGGAAGCACGATTCAGCTCCACAGCCTACTACATAGTGATCTTGGCGCGCAACTGCCCCTCCACATTAGTTTGTCTAGACCGGTCGTGCTACGGACAGAACAGCGACAGTCCTTCTTGGACATGTTTCAATCTCAGCTGAAAGAGTCGCAAATTCCAACGTAAGTAGCTGACTTGCTTATTTTCTTAGGACTATTATCTTCGTGATCGATCAATTCATCGTGCTGACAAGCTGTGCAAGGTTCAACGTCTCGACAAATAGCCTCGACTGTGTCTCAAATTACGAGAAGACGCGGTGGTTCTATGTCTTACGTGCGGAAAAGCCAGAAGAAGATAATTTGAATCGTCTTCTTCAGCTGTCTAATCGAGCCCTGGCGCGGTTTGAACAGCCTCCGCTATACGAGTCGTCGCAGGATGTGGCGGCTGTGCGGAAGTCAAATGGTGGTGGTACGACACTGCCACGGGTGTCGAGTGAGTCTGGCCAGTCTGGGGCTGATTACTCTCACTGCTTCCATATCTCGTTGGCATGGAGCTTGATGGGTCTGTCGTCTGCAGAGAGAGAGCTGATCGGAGGTGTGGATTTGCGTAAAGTACGTGAGTTGGGTGTGCGGTTTGATTGTGTCAAGGTGAAAATTGGCAATCATGTTTCTAGTATACCGCTGCAGTAGATGATGAAGTTTATTTAGACATAGAGTTGTACATAGAAGCATTTGCTGGGAATACTGTGGTTGGTTGGTGGGTGAACATTAGCGCTGACTCTTCCAGCAATACTTGTCTTCTAGTATACCATAGACCTGACCGGTTATTGGTTATATTCGATTCCAGGTTCATAATACGTATATTTACTAGAAACTAGGCACGGAATATCATCACCGGCCTATTACTCTGCGCAGTGTAACTCGGATATACATCGGCTATTCCCATACTACTAGATATCTCATGACAAATCCAATAAACACTAAAAGAGCATAACTTTGGCACAGACTATATTCAGTTGTGATCACTGCACCCCATGAGCAATACTGTAGCTTAAGCCGTGGGTCTGAAATGTCATTTTAACTCTACCTCACCGAACTCATATGCTTTACCTGGATCAACGTCAGCATAAACCTATTGACACCGCCAGAAAGTCCCTAAATTGAGAACCTCAAGCTACTCAGTATCTATACCAGCACCAAATAGACGCCATATACTGAAAATTACTATTTGATGATAGGCTTTGTCCGTCTGCTAAGCTAGTAACACTACTACTAGTAGTAGTAGTCACAAGAGACTGAATATATATTCCACGACGGTATGAATACCCAATCTGAACTTTATCCTCTCCAATTGCTCAATATAATCACCAAAACCTTTCAACTTTTGAACATTGTAACCAGAAACCCAAAGCACTCACTTGACCAACAATAATCTCATGATACTACCCCCCCTGTAAATTTCATACTGCGTAGATAGAAACAAACACACACACACCAGCATAACCACCCGTAACATTCATCCGTCCCATACAATACAATACATCCCGCCCACGCACGTCACAAACCCGCTAACCCGCCCACCACCAACACACGCGTAGCTTAGCTTACCTAGCTAGCTATCTTCTTCATCCTCAAATTCATCTTCAATCCTCTCCCCCCTCCCCTTAACCAACAAAAAATCATCCCACACCCTCCAAAATGTCCCTGATCACCCCACCACCCATTACCATGGTACGTTCTCGGCCCCTAGCCCATAACCCCTCGCCATTGTTTCCCCCCAGAAGAACCAAATGTGCAAATACCTAACCCCCACAGGAAGACCTCCACGCATTCCAAGCAAAACACTTCCCGGGGAGCGTCATCGCCCAGACACCACAGCCACAACCACAGTCACAATCACAAACACAACAAGTGACGAATACCAACCAGCCCGAAGAATACTACAACCCGGATGACGAAGAGTATGAATACTACGAAGAAGAAGAAGACCTAGGCTACTACCCCGACGGCGTGAAACGCACCCTCACGGACGAACAAATCCGCATATTCAGACATAGTGAGATCCATGCGTTGAGGAGGGAGAAAGAGTTGCGGGAGGAGGAGGAGGCGGATGCAGCAGCAGCAGCAGCAGCAGAGCGTGCCGTAGTTGCAGATGCGGACGCAAACGCAAGATCAAATGCAGCTGGTACAGAACAAGCGAGCAAGTCTCGGGTAGAAGGGGAAGAAGATGCGGATGTGAAGATGGATTATGGGGATGGGGATGGGGGTGCTTCTGCTTCGAATGCGAATTCGAAGGCGGCTTCGAAGGCGGCTTCTAGGCCTGTGCCGCAGTTTACGGGCAGGAGGATCATTTCGTATGATGATTGAGGTTGAGGTTGAGGTTGATCAGAGGATGAGAGTTAAGGTGGTTTTATGTGATTGCCTCATATTTATCTGCCTGCATGCCTGCCTGCATGCCTGCCTAGGTATATGTGCTGCGGTTAACCGTTCTGGTTTCTGCGCCCTGCTGGAGACACCGTCGACACATCTGTCTATCCGACATTCCAGGGTGCTCCAGTCACACGCATCAGCTGGTCTTTCTGACATGGTAAGTCTACTTTTCACTGTTTGTTTGCTTTCTTGCTATTCTGCTTCCCACATGATGAAAACATCGTATCAGTCATCCTTAGTCGGAGCGCCATACCATCTGCGGATGTGTAAGGCTATGTCGACTTAAATCTTCTCTCTGAGCTTACTTGTATTGCTGCTTGTTGGACTCGAATGTTATTCTATGTCCTGTTGCTAATTCTCTTATTGACTAGTGCTGTCTTTGGAAGCAAGAGCAAATGATGTGGCATTTTGATCATATGCATCGACGGTGCAAACACCCTGTAAATAGGGTACGATTTGCCATCTATGTTGTGGTCCAGACGCGCGCCTAGAGAGGGTGCTTGAACGATCAGCTTCGAAGTGAAAATGCTTCTCAACTTCATTGAGAACATGATACTCGTGATATTCATGGAAGCAGCATATCTTCATCGGTCCAAGGATCGAAATGTTATTTATCAGCATAGCAAAACTACCCATGCGTAGGTATAGCGCCGCATCTCAAATGTAGCGCCACTATGGCCTTTCTACATCTACTCAAACCGTGATTGGCCTCTGTCTAGGGACCAAGCACCAGAAAAAGGCAATTCCAATGAGCAGCCCCAGCATGATGGGCTGCAAAACCTGGACGCCAGCCTGGGAGGCCACCGCTCCCGTTAGGAAAGGGAATGCAGCGGACCCTGCCTGTCCAAGACTGGCAGTGAATCCTGTTGATGATCAGCATGAGCAAATCCACATTCAAATGCCAGCTACTTACCCATTGCTCCCACGTGAAGTTCTTTTGGGATGACCTTGGTGAGAAGATAGAGTCCAACTGGGTAGAAAGGACCGATAAAGAAACCTGGTACCAACTATTAGCAGTGTTCTTAACAGTGGCGTACCTTGTGTCTCGCAATGCGCTGGGATGGAGCATACTCACCCAGGAAACACACTGTGACTGCATTGATAGTGATGTCTGGCACCAACCAGAACAAAAGCTGCATCGCCACAGCCAACGCGGTATAAACGAACACCATGCGCCGTTCACCCAAGCGATGCGTGATATCCGCTAAAGCAACACGGCCCAAGGTAAAGCCGGTCCAGAAGCCGGACGCAATATATCCTACTTTGGTAGGGTCGCCATTTCTCACCGAAACAAGGAACTGCACAAGCCAACCTGAAATACGTCAGCAAGGAGCTGCCTCCAGTCGTGGAAGAACGTACCTCCAGCAGTCACCTCCGCGCCAACGTACAAAAAGAAGAAGCCGTTGAATATCCACACAGTCTTGTTTGACACTGTTTCTCGAAGCTCCTTGCCGGCCGTCTCCTTCGCATTGCTCACATTGGGACGGAAGAGCCCCTTTCTGAAGGTCCAGACCAGAGATGTGATGTTTAGTACGCCGAGCAACATGGTCACAAGGTAGTAGTGGTGCCAGACTGGCATTCTCGAGGCAATCGTATTGGCGATCAATGGAGCGAGAATGGTTCCGACGCCATACACGGCATGCAAAATGCCCAGCCACCGATGGGCGTCCTTGACAGTTATAGTGAACATGTTCATCTGGGCATCTTGGAAAGCTACGCCGCAACCAGTGAAGAAGAATGCTGCCACGAAGAGGGGGAAAGGCGGACTCCAGAACATCAAGGCATAGCCGAGACACTGAATGGTTGCTCCCAGGACCAGTGTACCGCCCGTTCCTATATGGGAACAGACATGAATATTGGCGAATGAGGCGACAACCCAACCCACAAAGTTGACTAGGTAGATGATGGACACCTGCAGAAGACCAACATCATAAGTTGGTTGTATGTACGGGATCAGAGGGCCCAATGCAGCATCTTTTATGGTCGGCCCATTCTACTGTCAGCTTCGGTTTGCTATCGCAAGCGAGTTACAGGGGGCGGGGCAATGTACCGTTCAGCCCGGCCATCAATGCGGCAAAGTTGGTACTGAGAATCTTGCTTTTAACATCTCCGACATCCTTGGGAAGTAGGAACGTAGACTCATCAGCCGGAGCGATTTCATCCTGAGCGTAGTTGCCATGTCCAGCTTCTCTGTGGTCGCCCATACTGTTGATTGACTGGATTGACAAGTCGCATTGAGAAGGACAGCCGCGCACTGGAGTAGCCAGTTACTTATATACGAGAGAGACACCGTAATCCTTGGCAGCAGCAACTAGCTCCACTGTCGCTTAGCTCTATAGCAGGTAATCGCGGCTACCTAATAAACCGACCCCAGTTGATGAGATGCTTGATGGTGGGGTAAACCCGAAGTTCCCCCGAGGTGTGGCAGCTTGCCTCTCTATCTGTCGGTGAGGAACACATGTGGATCTTGGGGTCTAGCCCACCACTCCAGATTGTGCTTGGTGACTCGCATCGTGCAGACCAGAGTCAAAACTGCAATGAGACTGGCGAGAGCCGAGTCAGGTGGCCGAGCGGGCAATTGGCGTCTTATTTTGCCGTTTTGGGAAGGTCTGCCAGCTGCTTACTCATGGTCTCCATACTGCTGGACGATTGGCGCCTGGAAGGACCTTCCTGGACTCAGGTTGGTTATCGGGGATTCGGGCCGAGGGAGCGTGGAAACGCTTGATGCTGAAATGTTGGTGAGTCCGCTATCGAGCTCTCAAGGTGATAAGGTATAGCCCAAACATAGTGGTGAACCTGGCTTAACACTACTGTTAGTCCATATTCATAACATATTATCAACGAAAAGTCACCTTCATCGCTTTGTCGAAGGAAACGAGTGAGGTGGGATAAGTCCTTCCAAACCCAGGTCAGAACACTGTATGGCAGCGAGGTTCAGAACTTGTCTTACCATGATGGGGACGAGAATATTGTTGCTGTTTCTATTATTTGGTCTTTCGTGCCAGATACGAATGTGCCGTAGATGCAATCTGGACAGTAGTTCGCAATCCGGGTCGTTTCGAGATAATGGCTGGCTGTTTCATGTTCCTGCAGAGAAGTATTAAAAATGGTCTTGGGGGAGAATGAATGCTCATTTGAGGGCATATGAAGCTGCAGTCGGGTTGCAAGCTGGTTTCAATGGTAGAGAAGAGCGGTGGAGAGCGGTTTGGACGGATGAATTTGTTGTGATGGTTCAATTGGAAGGTAGCCCTGTTCCATGGGGTCTTATCTGAACCTTCTAAGAGCTGCATGGCACCCTAAGCATGAGGATGATGAAGAGAAAGGGATGAGATTGTCACAAAGAGGTATGAGGGGAGATGATAGGTCCCAGAGACTAGTAGTTGAATAGTCGGAAAACATATTGCTGAAACAGGAAGTCACCCTTCAACGGGCCTAGCCTATGCAATATCATTCTTCATCAATTGAAACAAGTACTAGTAGTAGGGTCCTGGTACAGTAGCACACCCATAAATATCAACGTCTTCAGGTCGGTCGTCTATTTCAGTCTCAATAGGTACATCACAACAAGGGAGCTTGCTGTTTGATACTTTTGCTACTAACTACCATCCACCTCGTCCTTTTTGCAATAACACACATACATGAGCCAATCTACAGCGGCCTTTCAATTATAGTAGTAGTGTATACAAACCCCGCAATGTCAAGACATCTTGTCCGTAGCTAGCCGGGTTTCTAACAGAGCTACCCCGGATATTTTTTTTTGGCGAATACGGGGTAACGCTTAGAGGCGGGGATGGTACTTATGCCGTGTGGTCCCTGCATCCACGTACTTTTCCAGATCAGGGGATGGTCGACGCCCATTGGACACAAGGAAGCCAATTCTGGTAACTTCCTGGACTAGTAAATCAATTCTATGCCAGCCATGAGGGATAATACTTGTGGGGTGAGTGATAGTATTCCCCGCAAAGCAGGAATTGTACATGTAAGAGAAACTGAGGATATGAGTTTCCATGACCAATTGATTTAGAAAGCGTGATACCATTCCGCCTTTATCCGGATTCTCTGAGCACATTACTGATGACGAGCGGTATGCAATGGCGACCTGAGATGGATTCGGGGGGTGTAAAATGCCTCGTCTTGTTGAGAGCGGTTTATGTCATGTTGAGAACGTTCTTGAGCTCTTTTGAAGCTTAAGTAGCCAACATTAACTAAATTAATCATAGCAAGGTATCCCAATCCAGAAACAATGGCGGGTACCATGAACAAGTAAATAAGTAGTAAGTAGTAAAGTGGATGAGCAGCCCGTCGCATCCGTCCGATAAGCCAGTGTAACGTTGGATCTCCAACGAGGCTGACGGACCAACCAGAAGCCACCCTGGGACCGGCAGGGTTACACAGGAAGCCCCTCAAACAGGAAGTGGAAAGGCTGGGCATTCCTGGAATCGACTGAGGAATCCCTTTCCAATGCAGAATTACACTGCCATGTATCACTCTTATCACGAGCAATGCCACAATCATGCTTAATCAAGGCAGTGCCTGATGTTCTCTTGCCGGTGTTTCCCGGCATTGTGACACTTGAACTTGCAGCTCGGTTCTGGATGACCTCAAGGTAGGGATAGATTGATATCCGCGGAAGTTTAACTGTCAAATCATGGTGGATCGGATTCCTGCAGAATCGGGAAAGCCGTGGTTCACGGCAAGTGCAAGTCTGGGTTACGTCTTCGAGTGTCTCCACTGTATGCATGCGACATCCTGAACAACCCCCCTCCCCCAACGAGGCTGGCTGTTCGGAAGGTCGTGCGGCTCCATGGCAATAACGCAATTTCATTGCAATGTGCCTTTAACTCGGCTCCTCCAGGCAATCACTTTGTTTCCTCTCTCTTCCTTGTCCCGCAGCTTCTCTCCTTCCTCATAATTATAACGAGCAGGCTGAGGTCAACAGGGAGCCTGTCTCTTTCTCCATTGTACGGGCTCAAGTGCTACAACTCGAGCACTTCGTTCTGTACTCTGCTCGAGCAGTAACGCCGTCATCATGAGATCTTCAGAGATCTATCCGGCACCTCCCACGGTGGCCGACCAGGAGCTATGGGAAGAGAAGAAGGTGTCGACCGAACAGAGCTCTCTCGAAGTCGGAGAGAACAAAGACCTCGCTCTTCAGCAGACTCAAGACGCCTTTGGGAATGAAGAGTTTGCGGAGGTCAAGTACAAGGTCCTCAAGTGGTGGTATGCAAGCCATTGTACTACATATCTCAACATTGTTCCTGACGTCTATCTAGGCAATGCGGCCTGCTCATGGTGGCTGAAACAGTCTCCCTGGGGGTGCTGTCCTTGCCTGCTGCCGTTGCCGGCTTGGGTTTAGTCCCGTAGGTGCATGCGACCTCCTGTGAGGTATCATCTGTCACTGACATCACCACCTCCAGCTCGGTGATTATCCTGGTCTGCCTGGGTGGCCTGGCCACCTACACGGGCTATGTGATCGGCCAGTTCAAGTGGAGGTATCCGCACGTTTGCAACATGGCTGATGCGGGTGAGGTGCTTGCTGGCCGCTTTGGCCGTGAGCTGTTGGGATTTGCCCAGATCATCTTCCTCATCTTCATCATGGCCAGCCACCTGCTAACCTTCACGATTGCCATGAATGCCTTGACTGACCATGGCACGTGCTCCATCGTCTTTGGAGTGGTGGGCCTGGTTGTCTCTTTCGCGTGCTCGTTGCCGCGCACTCTGGAAAAGATGTCCTGGCTCTCGTTAATTTGTAAGAAATCTAAACTTGTAGTTATCGTGCAGAGCGACGCTGACTATAGCCAGCTTTCGTTAGCATCTTGTCATCTGTGTTCATCACAATGATCGGGGTGGGTATCTCACACCCTGGGAAGGTAATTGAAGCAACGGTCAGAACCGACCTAATCCACGGCTTCACCGCGGTGGCCAATATCGTCTTTGCATTTTGTTAGTATCCGCTGCCTAAGTCGCTTTGATTATCAAGCTAATCCTGTTATAGCTGGACATGCTGCATTCTTTAGCCTTGCAGCGGAATTGAAAAATCCAGCCGACTATCCCAAAGCCTTGATGCTGTTGCAGAGCGTCGATATGACCCTCTATCTCGTTGCAGCCGTCGTGATCTACTGCTATGGGGGATCCACAGTTACTTCTCCCGCACTGGGATCCGCCAGCACGGTTGTGTCCAAAGTTGCTTATGGCATTGCGCTTCCGACAGTATGTTGCAACTCCGTATAACAGTGCTGGTTTCTGACAACCATACAGATCATCATCGCCGGCGTTATCAACGGACATGTGTCTGCCAAGTCCGTCTATGTGCGTATCTTCCGTGGCACTGACCACATGCATAAGCGCACCTGGACTGCCGTGGGCTCTTGGACCGCAATTGTCCTAACACTGTGGGTGCTCGCCTGGATCATTGCGGAAGCGATTCCAGTGTTCAATAAATTGCTGAGCTTGGTTGTATGTCCTACACCCTGGTCCCAGTTGCACTTGTACAAGTCAAGGACAGTCTAACAATATGCAGACTGCGCTCTTCGCCAGTTGGTTCACTTTCGGCCTGAGCGCGATCTTCTGGTTCTACATGAACTCTGGACGATGGTTCTCGTCTCCGAAGAAATTCGCCCTTTCTGCTGTCAACTTGCTTGCTTTGGCAGTTGGATGTTGTCTGGTATGTATATCCTCCACTGATCCAGACCAGTCTACTCACATATACAGTGCGGTCTTGGGCTTTATGTCTCCGGAAAGGCCATCCACGACGATCCCCACCATGCCAGTTTCACCTGCATGAGTACTGTCTAATGTGTGATGAGGTTATGTCAATTGTCTGTTTGCTCGCGATAGATTGGGAATCTGGCGTTTGAAGGTCGACCTTGGTTACGATCGTTATGATGTCCTGGTATGAACAAGATGGAGTCTTGTATATAAACTTGTAAATACATTATGCGCATGATCGATATCGAGAAAAAGCATGACAAGCATGAGACTAACGCCAACCGACTCCAGTGTCTTGACCATGAACGTAACTCCAGTCCCACCATGCGCGAAAGCAAAGTACTAAATGCCGCAGATATAACACAGCAGACCATGCATCCGACTTGAAAGAGGACAAAACCTCCGGAAAGTAACCCTTAGAAACAGGAAGAGATGTAATGATAAGAATAGATGAATAAAATGGTATATGTAAACCGTCCACCGACAGAACTAAGAGACCCTAAGAGATAAAGTAAAGTAAAAGTATAGATAAGTAGAAGATAAAAGAAAATAGAAAAGAAAAGAGAATCGAAAGAATGAAACAACCCACTCTTCAACGCCATCCATACCGAACCAACCCAAACCAAACCAAACCCACACACTCCAGTAAATTCCCTCTTCATAAGTAGAAAGAAGGGAAGCAGAAAACCCGTAATTTAATGCAATCAAGCAATCTACACCGTCTCCCCGCGTCCACTTGCTCTCTTCATCCTTCGCCTCTTCCGTCGACACGAATCGATCGCCTCGGGCGTGAGAATCTCCGCAGGAAGCTCGAACTCGCGCTCCTCGATCTCGGGAATAGGTTGTCCGAAGGCTAAGCGGGTTCGACCTTTCCGGGCTGGTCCAGCGAGGGCTAGTTCGCGGAGATGGGGTTTCGAGTAGAAGGAGGTGAAGGGTTTGGTGGGTTCTGGGGGTTCTGGGGGTAATATTTCTGCTGGTGGTGGTGGTGGAGGAGGAGGGGGGGCTATGTTGGAGGCGGTGGCTTTGTGTTTGGTGGAGGATGAGGGTTTGGTTAGTTTCTTGCCCGTTGAGGTACTTGTGGTGGTAGGGTTTGTGGGGTTTGCTGTGGTTGTTGTAGTGGCGGATCTTGCTTCCTGGTGTAATTGTCTTGCTGCCCAGGCGTCGACGTCGTTGGGGTCTGGGGGATCTCCGCCACAGCTTTGGGCGTCGGATAACGGGGTGGTGCCGTCTTCTGCGTCGCCGTTGGTGGATGTGGCTGTTGTCTCTGGGGAGTGGTCCTTTTTGCTACTGCTAGCGGTGGTGGGTGGGACGGGCTCTTCTTCGGTTGGTTTGTCCTTTTCTGACTTGCGGCGCTTTTCTTCTTCCCTCCAGATTTTGAACTTCTGCAGGACGGCGGAGATCTCCCGGATGAAGTACGTGCGTTTGGACTCGAAGTGTTTGCGCTCCGGGTCGCTGATCAGTCCGGTGATTCCCATGACACGCAGCCAGTCGTGGCCTTGGAGGTCATCCAGGAGACGGTCTAAGTTTTGCTTTTCGTGCTGGGCGCGGTCGCGCTCGATGTTGCGCAGTTGCTTTTCTTGTCGCTCATTGCGCCGGTGCGGGCGGAAGTAGGTTTCTTCGCTGAGAGGGTCGGGAGAGGTTGTAGTGGAATCTTCGGCGGTGGGAGATATGGGTGGGGAGGTAGAAGGATCGGGAAGGGTGATTGATTCGCAGTTGTGGAGGTTCACGAGAGGGTTTCCAAAGGGTGTATCGGTATCAGAAATGGGATCGGAGGATGGTATGAGCGGTTCGGGGAGGTCGTCGAGGAGTTTGATGGTGGTATTTCCCGCAAGAAACTCTATGCAGGCCAATTTGTCAGCGGAACATTTTATTAATCAAGTATATTATTCTGCAGCCTTACCGGTCTTTGGCGGCTCCATACTGAGGAGCTCCTCATAGTTGGGAAAGTAGAGCGCCAGCTCGCTGCGCGCGCGGGAGCCACCATCGTGAGAGCGGAGGGAGCGCCGTTGCTCGCGCCCGGTAGAGGGCTGCTCGGTCGGAACTGTCGGCTGCTGTGGGGTCGCATCCGGGGCAGGCTGAGACGGTTTCGATGCTGTCGAGGCCGATGTAGGTTGCTGTATAGGCGTTGCAGCTGCCTCAGGCTCGGGGTCAGCGGCGGCAGTTGAGCGGCGCGGGCGACGGGCGGAAGAGGAGGCGGCGGTGGTGACGGCGGAGGGTGTCCCCGCCGGGGCGACCCTCCGCGAGACCGACGAGTTGGCCGTCGCGGAGGGGGAAATGGTATCTAATGGATCTGGCGATTCGCGACCGACAGGAAGGAAATATGATGTGATCGTGGGGGTGGAATCATTGCGGAGAATGCGACGGGGATTCGGTCGCGGAGTGGCCGGTGACGACGATGTGGGATTATTGCTGGCCAGCGGGCGGCGCGTCGAAGTCCGCCGGCGCAGGGGATGATGATGAGACGAGAGTTTGTAAGGTGTGGCAGCCGAGGAGGATGAGTTCTCCGTCGTGGTGGTGTCCAGCAGATCGGGGGAGCTCTTGCGACGACGCGATGACGATTGAGTCTGGAGACGAGCTCGCTTTGCTGGTGGCTCGGAGTCCGGCTGGTCGGGGGAATGGCCGTGGTGAGGATCTCGTCGCAGGGAGACACGGACAGGCATCAGGGTGGTGGAGGTCATTCGGGAGGATTGAGGGGGGAAGAGAGGAATTGAGACGTGGGGGGGGAAAGAGGTCAGGAGGGATGCGTGCACGGCATGTCAGGGCCAGTCGGGGGCGATTCGGAGGATTGAAGTTAGTAGGATGAAGCAACTCGAGAATCGCAGCTGCAGGTCTGGATGATGTTCCGGATTGGGGAGGAGGTGAAAGTTGTATCTTTACGGATACCGCAGGAGGTATGTCTCAGTACCTGACAGGACATGTGTTACCGTTATAGTGTACGATACCCTGTCACAACGATACCTCACTTGACTAGCATACATACATACATACATCTTTACTTATACATATTTACTTCTTCCTCTCCTTTCTCTTCAACTCTCACGGCATCAACTTCAATCTCATATCCATCCCGTTCACTCCTTTTTTTCGGGGCTCACTTTTCATTTCTCCGAGGAACCAATTCTCCGGCGCCTACCCCATTCCTCTACCATAATGTTACCCTGCACGACGTGGGGGTGGGAGCTACTCTGACTTGCCATAGGAGGGGATCTGCTGGAGAAGAGTGTGGGGTGCGTGGGGGTTTTTGGCTGGATTGTTTTCTGCTCGACGCTGTCTGGATGGAGTCAACCGGCTCAATGTCCGACTCTCTCCAAACTTGACTGGAACTGTTTCCCCTCTTAGCCACCCACTGGCTTTCTTTTCACTTTCTTATAACATGGCAACGACATCCTCATTGCTTTCCATCTATCCTCCTCCTTCTTCCCCCGCATTCTCCCCATCCACCACCACTCTCTATACTTCCACACCTACCCCAGATTGATCACCGACCCAATCACCACCTCCACAATGGCCATTACCCCCCGCCCCCTCAAACCCGGCATCTACGTCCCAACCGTGGCCTTCTTCACCTCTCCCAACGAAGACCTCGACCTCACCACCACCGCCCAACACGCCACCTACCTCGCCCAGTCCGGCGTGACCGGTCTAGTCGTGCAAGGCAGTAACGGCGAAGCCGTCCACCTCAGCCGTGAAGAACGCAACCTGATCACCTCCACCACCCGACAGGCACTCGACACCCACGCGCCCTCCGCCCCGCTCATCGTCGGCTGCGGCGCCGCCTCCACCCGCGAGACCATCCAACTGTGCCAAGACGCCGCCGCCTCCGGAGGCGACTATACCCTGATTCTCCCTCCCTCGTACTACAAATCCCTCCTCTCTCCCAAAGACCTCCTCGACCACTTCCGTCTCGTCGCCTCCGCCTCCCCCATCCCTATCCTGGTATACAACTTCCCCGGCGCCTCCTCGGGCCTGGACCTCTCCTCAGACGACATCCTCGCCTTGGCGGAACACCCCAACATCGTCGGCGTGAAGCTGACTTGTGGAAACACGGGTAAATTGGCGCGCATTGCTGCCGCCGCTGAACCGGGCTTCTTGACCTTTGGTGGCTCCGCGGATTTCACGCTCCAGACGCTGGTGGCAGGCGGTCATGGAGTGATTGGTGGCGTGGCTAATCTGATTCCGAGGTTGAGTGTGCGTGTGATGGAGCTGTATCAGGCTGGTCAGGTCGAGGAGGCTCAGAGGTTGCAGGCTATTGTGGCGCGTGCGGATTGGCAGGCGATTAAGGGTGGGTTTGTGGCCGTCAAGAGTGCCTTGCAGACGTACCGTGGATATGGAGCCTTGCCGAGACGGCCCTGTGTGGTGCCGTCGGAGGAGCAGGCGACGACGTGGAAGGATTCGTTTGCGGAGGCTATGGAGTTGGAAAGGCAGTTGGAGAAGCAGGCTTAGCTTTCACTTCTGTAACTACCTACCTACTTACTCTACCCTACTATACCAGGTTGATATACACGCAAACGCAATCAATATCCACCTCAAGAAACTCACTCCCACTTCTTCTACATACCATCATCTATACAACCGGCAACACCAAATAAGAATCAAACCCCTCCCCACAATGAACCTCATGCACCTGCTCCTCCCCCTCCCCTCCCGATCCCCCCTCCCCTTCCACCGGATGATCAAACTCCACCTCCGGATAACACAAATCACGCCCGGCGACCCTCAACATAATCCCCTCCCCAGCCCCAAACACCATCCCTATCGGCCACAACGTAATGTCAATCGGCACGATCTTTCCGGCGGGTATCATCTCCGCGCGGTCATGTCTATACACGATCTCGTGCTCCGTTGAGAGCGTCTCGTCGCGCGTGACGGCGTGTGAAGCGCGCAGGAACCCCTGCGGCCCGAGCGTCTTGGCGGTGTTGACGTTGGGAACGGCGTCGACGGGCACGGGACACGGGTAGTTGAGGTGTTCGAGGAGTTCGCCGGTCGTGGAGATCTTGCGGATTTGCACGATGATGTCCATGTCTGTGTGGTGGGGGGTGGAGAGCCATAGGTGGACGCGGGGGTACCCGGCTAACTGGGTGGGGGTGGGGAAGTGGAGGGTGAAGTCCTGTTGATTTGTTAGGAGGGTATGGGTAGGGGAGTGAGTGGGATGGAACGTACGGAAGTGCCCTGGCGGGCGGAATGAGTTGTTGAGGTGACTGTGTCTGGGAGAGAGGGTTGGAGGGTCTTGGTTGATGCGTTGAGGTAGAATTTCTTGAGCTCCTGGCGGGTTAATGGGTAGGTTTGCTCGGGGCGTTCGAGGATGGTGGGCACGGAGCTGCCTTCGAAGCCTAGGAGGGAGAGGCGCACGGGTGGTGTGCTTTCCCAGTCGTTGGGCGTGTTCTTGAGGTAGCGGCCGAAGAAACGAGAGAGGTCGTCGACCATCTCCGGTCGGTAGAGATCGTACCATTCTTGGTATGGGTGTACGCGGAGCCATTTGCGGGTGCTTTTGGCGGTGCGAAAGGTTTCGAAGGAGCCACGCGTGTGCAGCATTGAGGAGTAGGAGGCGAGGATGTAGAGGGGGTGTCGCCGATGCGTTCGGTGTGGATGCGTTTGCTTTGCCAGTAGGCGTCCTTGAAGGGTCGTTTGCTTAGCATGGCGGGCATGTTCTCGGCGGTTCCGTGACCGGCGAAGCCGGTGAGGATTAATTTGTGGAAAGCCTCGTTGTGCTTCATGCCACCGCGCATGGTTAGGTCTCGGTATAGGTCGGTGAAGCCTTCCCAGGGAGCGAGGGCTTTGAGGGCAGGATGCTCGAGTCGCGAGGCGAAGTTGACCTGTGCGATGGAGAGCCACGAGTTGCCTGCCATCCCGACGGAGCCATTGCACCACGGTTGTTTGGACAACCAGTCGATCGTGTCATAGATGTCTTCGGCTTCTTGTTGGCCCCAGAAGGTAATGTTGTCTTCGGAGTTGCCGGCGCCGCGGGCGTCGATGTTGATGATGGCGTAGCCGCGAGGCACCCATTCGGCGGGATCGGGGGCTTCGAACTTCTCATAACCTGAGGTCCGGCTCTTCTCGAGCCCAGCGCGGAATGGCGCCATGCTGTCGTAGCTCTGCGGACCGGTGCCTGTCTTGCCATAGGGACTCCATGGGATGATGGCTGGGACGGGGCTGGCGTCGGAGTCGACAGGACGAAAGATATCGGTGTATATCTTGATGCCGTCGCGGAGGGTAATGGCTATATCCTGCTCGAAGAGCACGTCTGTGTGGAATGCGCGATGGCCTGAAGATCGCACATGTCCTGCGGAAAGGACTGTCTTCTTGCCTGGGTGGAAGCCTTGATAATTGTAGGCAGGATGCTCCGCCGGTGGTGTGAGGGGGAACCATTCGAGGTCGGGAAAGGTAGCGCGAATCTTCTCTTCAGTGGTAGTCATGATGTTTGATTTGAACGAGGTCTAGGGTCTGAGTATTTGGTAGTATCTGGTGGTCTGCTAGCAGTTTATATGAAGCAGCGGATGGTGTCCATAGAGATCCCCGCATCCCCACTGCCGTTCCCCCACATTCGGGACGCATCACTATCGACGCATCATTCGAGTATATAGAGAGGTATGAGGTGATTGGTGTGGGAACTGCTTCATGGGTTTGAACGCGACCGACAACTGCCTGGCATTTGTCCAAAATCGAGTGGTAGAAGGACTGGCATTTGCCGAATTGCAGCCATTGTCCGAGCGATGACATCTATATTATCTGCCTCGGGAAGTGGGAAAGGCAAGTGGGAACACATCCACAGGCTCAGAACAAACTCTGAATGGATGAACAGCAGGGAAGAAGATGGAGAAAGAGAGCGCAAGAGTGGGGAAGTGCGGAGTTGATGGAGGACTGGCCTGGCTGGGGTCAAGTGACTTGCGCCTGTCTCAGCTGAATAACAAACATCCTTGAATTCAACATCTACCACAGCAAGTTGAACACCCTACTCCATACCCAAGGTATACAACTCCGGCACCTCCTCATCGTCCCCCATTTCCCTCTCACCCAAGAACGCCCGCACACCCACTCCCTCCTTCCAGCCCTGCATATCCACCGGCTCCTCCATCGAATTCACTGACGCCTGCCACAGTGCCCTCGCATCTCGACACTGATGCACCGCGCCCACCCCATCGATGTCGAAGATGGTCTTGCCGTGCCAGTCCTTGGTTTTCCGGGGCCGTTCGATCGTGTCATCTGCAGCACAGAGGATGCCCTATCATGGTCAGATTTGAGCAAAGCAGGGGGTAGACAAGTACAATGAACGAAAACCCACCTGAGCAATATAGTCAAAGCAATGCGCCCAATGTACCTTGTCATGCATCATGTTGCCCGAATGCGCCTGACTGGTTGAGTTGATTTTGTTCTCCGTCGTCTCGGGGAAGACAATCGCCCGCAGCACGATCAGACAGTGCAGTTGATGGAACATTGATATCCCCCAGCTGAGGAGTTTCTTCTCTTTCTTCTCGTCAGCGGTGAGATGGATACGGTCAGGCATTGTATGAGATAGGATGCCTCCGCCACCGGGCGGGAGGAGGATGGATTCCCATGTCTGGACTTCGTCCGAGTCGTTGACTGTCCGTTCGAGTTCAGGGCGCTCGTTGAAGACTCGACCGTGAGTCTGGTCTGGTAGGCTTAGGGACTGAGAGGGACATATGGGAGGGATGATATGTGGAAGAAAAGTGGGTGGTGTAAGGAGGAGGATGGTGATGGTGGTGAGAAAAAGGGTGGTGAGGATCAGCGAGATGAGACAGGGGGTATAAAGTGATGTCTTGGACATTTCATGGCATTTCTTGTTTTCTTTCTTCAGTACTCTAATGTAGAGAAGTGACCGGGGTATGGTGGTTTCATGATTCTTTTATCTGGGGGTCGTTCTTTATTGTTGCCGCATCGGGTATACAATGGTTCTTTATGGGATCCATGGTTGAGCTGTGTGAAAGCCATGGTTCGTAGCTAATTCACGAGTGTATTTAGACCTCCTTCGAAGTTGAATAGCCAGCTACATAGCTAACTAACTAGGATAGAATGTGCCCATCTTGGTGTTGCCCATATCAAACATGGATAGACACTATACTAACCACGGAGTACAGGGAGGAGATTCACATGACCAGCAATATCTGCACTAAACCAACACTAAATCTACACAGTGATAAGAAGCCAAACAGACATTCAAATCCCGGGGAGCTAGACTAGCTGCACCACAAGCACAGAGCAGAGAGTGACTACTAACTGTGACGACAAGTGGCAAAAACCGGGCAACCTGCAGAAGCAACTAATGCGAGCCTGATTGCTGCAAGGCATCCTGAGGGAATGGATACCTTGTCTGTTCGGAATGACGACAATTGGTGGAAGGCAGCTGTTTGTTACTCAGGATTCAGTATCCGTCCACACCATTATTCGTGTATCCATCTATCTATCTAACTGGTAATTGTACACATCTCATTCACAAACCTTACTTGCTCACAAACCAACCTCGATGAACATCAGTGTAAAAGTAAAGTTCACAACCTAACCAGTAACAAAGTTAACCCCATCTGCAGGTCCGTCAAGTCAATCAGTCAGTCAGGTTAGGTTTAAATCCGATACTTCCGAATACCAACCCAGCCAACCGGACTAACCGATTAGCATCATTGCAGCAGCAGAGCAGCAGCAGTAGCACCGCCTCCTATCCTGTCCAGGTAGGTGGTAAGTGTCTGGTACTCCTAGTATTCCCCTATCCCACAAAAGCCAACTAACTGACAAACTAAACGAGACTAAACCCAACCCCGGTGCAAAAACTACCTGCCTAATTTCCTCCCCGTCTTCCTCCTAGTTTCCGGTTGACTGGAATGGAATGGACTGGCGGGAAAGAAAAAAATGGGTGCTGGGATGGATGCCGGTGTCAATACCTGCCCTTTTCGGGCATAAATTACGGGGAAGGAGACAAAAAACATGGGCTCGGTTTGTTTTTTTGTTGTTCAGGTTCAGCCAGCCTCTTTCCATGTCCACCTCCCCGAATGGGTTTAGTCTCCCCTTCCTTGGGGGGATTCCCTATTCCCTAACTGGGATTCATACGTTAATTCCGTTCCCTTATGACGATAGCTATTTACTACTCTCTATTATTACTAGTTACTACTTTGTAGGTAAGTAATAGGTGAAAACGTAAATCGTCAATAATATTACTGGAAGGAATAGCTACTACTATTACTAGTGACTGTCTTATACGAACTGGCCAATCATGTACATAGTGTTGGTGTTTTTATTTCATTCATTGTTTTGTTTGTTTGTTCTTGTTGTTTTTCATGGTCAGGCCGAGATGGGACGGTTATTCATCAGTCACATCTATCTATCCTTGGGAATGGTAACTACTACTCACTTTTCTACTAGTATTATTCCTGCCAGTCTATCTATGTAGCTAGGTAACGACAACAAGTAGTATCTATCATTTGTCTATTACATACTTATTCACGGAGTAATAGATACATAGACAGATACTACTGTACACATATGATGATATTCAGGGGGATGAATTCGGTGATACTAGTAAGTACTCCCCGTTATCGGTGTTCGCCGTTTATTTCGATCGCGATTTCGTGCACGTGAGTAAAATATGTAACTACTACTACTTCTGATATGCTATTACTATCTCCTACTACGTACTGTACCTACATGCTTCAAGTGCCCGACAATGTACCTACCTACCTATTTGGTATCTGAGACCGAGATACCTAGTTAGTTGGTATCCCATCCCCTCCTGTAAGTACACAATCCCATCCATGACTCAGTTACTTACCCAATTCGTCATTCAATCAATCAAATCATATCCACTAGTCCCATTTATCCAGTACTACTCATAACTATATCGCCACATAATATATCTACACCATCACCAAGTTATACACTATGAACCACAATGCAACCAGTAGATCTTAGACTAGATCCTAGAGTAAACAGATCTAGGGATTTTAATCTTCATCCTTTCATCCTTCGTTTCGCGTCGAGTCACTCACGGAGTATCTTGGATGGGTTACATCCAAATTCGCCTCTCGGGCGGGGGGTTTTCATCGTCATTATCCAGCTAACTAATTAGTTAGTTAACTAACCTAGCTAGATAATTACTCAAGTAATGTTCGGGATATGGACCACATAACCGAGAGAGCAATTACATTGACTATTCTTTATTCATGTAGTGAAGGCAAATAAAGGCAACAAGGATAAAAGTCAAATAAATTATCCGATATTCTATTCTTAGTTGTTCCTGTGTTGCCCTTGCGGATGTAACACTTGGCAGTAGTAGATGCCTTCTTCCTCTTCTTCTTCTGCGGGTATAGCGGCAACCATACATGTGCATATATATATATCTATATGTATCGGTGAGTTTTAAAGGGAATGTTAAAGGGAATGAATCAAGGGATAGTTTTAGTTAATTCTACGATTGAGTCAATCGGGGGTTTGTTATATTTAGGTATGAATGCCGTTCGTATTATTGCGATTTTCTCTACGGTGTACGGAGTAGAAAGTATATACTATTTTCTAGAACTTAGTTGATGATGTACCATGATGCTAACGCGTTATGGTTATGTTTATTGTGAAGGCAACTAGTTCCTTACTTATTACTCATACCTACTACTTACTACTGAGTAAATAGTATGCTGTGGGAATAAGTAATCTCGCTTCTAGTAATCGTACTTTGTACGTGTCCTCACTTAGCTCCTCCTAATGTATCGTCTAAGCGATTCGTTTCATTGTTTACTATCTATCTTAAACGACTATCCTTTTCAGCTGAGCTACCAGTCTAGACGTCTAGCCTAGCCTCGTGGCTTGTTTTGACAGCTGCATGGCGGAGAAGGTTTCCCTTAACTCCAACTAACTGACAAGAAAAATAGGCATCGTTAACGGAAACTCTCCTCCGCAACTATGTTCAATAGACAGCATCCACCGGATCCATTGTGGCAAAATACGGCCCCAGACCCAGAATGTTTTCTAGTACGGATAGATGTCAAAGGTTGGTGATCCTTCCGTTAACGATGTAGTCGGGGTCCCATAAGTATGATGGTGGTACCTTTGGGGGTCTATCCGTTGTTTCAAGTATGGATAGACATGTTGGGAAATCAGCTTCCGGGTGTCCTCCCGTCGTAACCGCTACTAGTCAATTTCTTTCTTTGCCTTAGGATTTATTCTGTTCTGCCTCCTGTCGTAAGGGGGACGGTAGTCGTCTAGGTAAGGGGGAGAGGGGATGCCACGATGTCTCCAACTGTCGGGCAAGGCCTGGACTGGGCGATGAAGATCGCGCCCCCGACTACTGGAAAGTTTTTCAACGCACTGTCATAGGTCAAAGACAACTAAGTAGTTGAAGTGTCTGCTTTGTAACGGGGTAAGTGCTTCCGGAGGAGCAGATCCATGCATCATCAATCGAAGCGACTAGACTACTACCTTATTCAGTCGGACAAGGCAAGTCCGTTATGATATATGCAGTTTTAGTCCCGCAAGGCACTCGCTTCAGGAGAGACATTATTCATCGGACATGCCGACACTATTGCTTGACGTCTGGGGCGCGGCGCTGCAGATCTCTGTGCTTTATCACGACCGTCCCGAGTTTCCGTCAAAGACTGTGCACACCCACACACTAGACACGGCGGCGGGTGACACCGCCTCATGTGCACTCGGCGCTAAAAAGAAAAAAAATTCTTTGGTGCCAGAGTCTCGGGGTTTGAAGGCGCCCATGCTTGCTGTCATAGGCTTGTGAACGGGGCAAATCGCATCCCTAGCCCATGGGCTTAGCCACATGGACTATCCCAAAGCAGGTTGCAATTCACCCACTTAGCTCGGGCCCATCGTGTGCCCCAGCCACATTCTCATCCGGCGTCAGGCACACGGGGTCCATCTCGGGGACCGTCAGGACGGTCCTGTTTTTTTTTTCTTCTGTTTTGTTTTCCTTTCAATGGACTCGGTATGGTATAGTAAATAGCTGCATGCAGGTTGACATGCCGAGTCATGTTTGTGGGTATCGGAGTGCTGAGTTGCGGTCCTGTCGAGCCCTAATGGGCACAATGCGCTAATCATTGCCGCTCATTCTCATGCGGGGGGTAGCCGTTCTACGTAGTACTGGGTGGTGGTCAACCCCTCAGGTCTTTCCGATCTCGCTCTGCCACCTGGAGGAGGCAGGTACCTACCTACACGATGCATAGAGAGAATAAGGCATAATAGGAAGACATGATAGGCAGCTCATGATGAATGCATGTGATGTACCAATCCCGTATCTTCATTGCGCATCGTGATTGACCGAAAATGCATCACCCTAAGCAGGGGTGCGCAAATCAGAGAGGAATAATGGAAAAATGGCTGTCTCGGAACAAACGCGGAGCATCCAATGACCGCCAAAAGTAAGGACCCTCCCTAACCGTAGTAGCGGAACAGAAGTGCGAGCCAGAATGGGGGCCACTATCTCTGCTGGAGTGGGTGGGAAGCAGTCGTCGACTCAAGGGTCCGGACCTGGAAAAAATTTCTGAATTGCTTCCTCGCGCCTATGTCGCAGGACCTCCTGAATCCGGAGAAGGCTTCCGACCGACTGTAGAAGGAGAGAACTAAAACTCGAACTAAGACAACACAAGTCTGTGGTGGGGATTAAGCAGTATGATGGATTGCATCGCTCAGACTGCCAGGCCTGTAGTCGACCACTTCAGGAAGACATGCCCGGTCGGAACCTAATCTGGCGAATGCCCCGAGCGACTATTAAGTCAGTGCATTTGATCAGCGACTGACCCAAGATCTTGTCCCGCGGGATCTGGTTTAGTGTCGATTCAAATTGATTATTACCCGGATCTCCGAGTGAGCGAGTGTCTTTGCGCTCAAATTTGAGCCAGTTCTGGTCTTGCCGGATACGCGGTATCTACAGTTTGGTATGGTAACCATGCATCCATCCGTGGATTCACTGTGATCGACAACAAAGTCCCCAAGGGTATGGTGCAACCGTCAAGTGGCTGCCATGTCCGTGGATGATCATGGGTCGCAGGGATCGGTCCCTCCTCTGCATGACTCCAAGCAGAATCCGGAAGGACCTGATGAAAGTAGTATGTAGATGACATCCGCCCAGATAGGTAGTCAGTTGTGATGTCCAACAGCATCCATTCCCCTCTCTATCCAAGGCAGTCCAACCCCTCTTCCGTGTAACCTCGAGTGAAGCAGGTGAAAAACCGAGTAGCTATTCACCAAGTTGATTGGCTCCTTCAGCCGGATAAGTGAGTAATAATAAAACCTTGATTAGCTTCCAGGTGCAACTTGTCTGCATGGCGAGTGTTACATGGGTTTCGCGTGTGCAGGTTACACCCCAAGACAAACAATGATCAATCAACCACTCACATCTGGGTAAACTTTCCGTGACTGCGAGGGGAAGTAACACGTCGTGTCTCTCTTTCTCTCTCTCTCTGCCCGACCTCCCAAGCCAGGGACTCGATTTTCGACATATCCTGACTGGGTAACACCGAGAGGAAGCTAGTTGTCAGACGATGACCAGGTTCGTCGACACTGATCGGCACAAGTTTGCTAGGATGAGAGGGGGTCAGTGAGGAGTTATTGGCTTATGTCTGGTCTGTGCATACGACTCCTGCTGGGTGTTTGGACGACATGAGTGAATCGCGGGGTCTTCTGCCATGCATGAAGAGCGATGGTCGCCGAAAGGATCCCGAGTACAAGGCCATTCTCTCGTCCTCTCACCCCCCTCCGCCCCCTTGTCTGGCACCGATGGCTTACTGAGCGGCTTGCAGATATCGACCTTAGCTGCAGAAAGTGCGAAGCCATGTAAGCCATCCCAGATCGACATGACACCAGTCTCGTCGAAGGAACAGAGCGATCGGAAGGATGCTATGGATATTAGCAGACGGCAATGGCGGTACATCCTAAGAATTCATGATTCGTGACAGCTCCACTGGCGACAGCAGAGACAGGGTCAGGGACAGACCAGCAGGAAGTTGACCCGACAACTTGTCACAAGGAGGGGTAGCCATACCCACAGCCAGCAGAATCACGATCCAGAACCCAACTTGAAGTTCCTTTCTCTGAATATTGTTTTTGTTCGTAATTTCCAGGATCGACGCAGGGGGAATCCGTGTGTCAGCCAGCGTGTGGAATCCACGTACTGCCTCAAGCGTGACCCAACTCCTGATTAGTTTCAGTCTATAGACCTGGAGGTTAAGTCAGTGACAGGTTGCATAAATCCCAGGATAACTCGTATCGGAGGGCGGATATCCGATTAGTGCCCCCCTGGGACAGGAAATATGGAGGGAGAGCAAGTGCGTAATGTGGAGAGAGTCAGTCATCCAAAGGAAGGTCTGGGCCAGACAGCCAGACCACCCATCTCCTCCATCCTCCCCGACCCAAAAAACACACACCCAGAAGATGGAGTGGAGCAAAAATCCATCCAAAGTACAAAGTACCAAACTAACTTAGTCCTCTGTTCATTAATTAATCAGGCACCTCATGTCAACTTCAATCCCGACACAAAATACTACATCGTAAGACCTCCACGTACCTAACCTTCCCAAAGCGGTATATAGTCGTGCCAATCAGCAAGAAGAATCTCGCTTATGCATTTAGCACTTAAGTAATTAATTACCAAGTTAGGTATCTAGTATTATTTAGTAAATTCCCAACAAATCTGTTAGCTGTCAATCATAATTCCTAAACGATGCAGGTTAATATATTCAAGCAATATAGATTGATTAAGTGGCCCATCCAAGGTGCACCATTAGGGTCGTGAATTCGCCATGCCAAGTACTACGCTAATTTCTTTCCCCGGCCTCCCCGGGACCGTAGTACGGGCACTAGATCTACTAGTTCGCATGCCGAGAAGCTACTTACTTACCTTTTCCCCCCTTGGACTGGGGCACTGGAGATTGGTCGTGGATTTCCGTTGGTCCTTCCTTTATGGCCCCCAGGATAGGGGGGGGGTTGACTGGTGAGGGGATGTAGACTAAGTTCTAATGGACGGAGGGAAGTCGTCAGGGGAACGTGAAGTACTACTATACTATCTGTCTATCTACCTATCTATCTGATTAGTCAGGTCTGGATGATAGGTGAATAGTCACCACCTTACTCAGTATTACTGAGTCATTTAATATACCGGGGTCTTCCCGTGCGAGCAAGGGTCAGGGGTGATTTGGAATAACTAGCAGGTAGGCCGACATACCCCCAGAAAATACTCGTTTATTTAATCTATTTAGCTTGATTGACATACATTGTTGCCGACAAGACTATCCACAACACCCGGGCGCTTATCAATCCGTGGGTGTGCGGAGAAGTAGGAAGAAAAAGAGAGAAGGAAAAACAGCTGAGTAAATCAGGACAGACCCGTTATCATTCCTACTCCCCAAGAAAATCAATAGAGTAAAACTAGTAGCTGGTAGCTTCCCAACGGCTTGATAAACAGGAGTGCTGCAAGCGCTTACTTCTGGTTCGTAAGATACCCACGCGAGTGTCCGATGCTCGGGACGGGAAAAAAGAAGAGAAAAGGAAAAAGAAAAGAAAACCAGGTAAGAGTAATAATTCCGGTGATGGCTTCACCATCCCTGGTCATCCCCCAAAATAGCAGTCCTATGGAAGCATCGAATTTGTTTCAAGTTGGTTTCATGGGCGGCAAGAATGTTGTTCTGGAAGCCTTTTTCCTGATCTCCTACTGGCGACCGCAGGCAAAGACAGTGCCAGGGGTTAGAATCCCAGCGCTTATGTTTGGGCGAATGCAAGCGCCAGCACACAAAGTAGTGCATGCAGCTAAGCAGGACTAGTCCCAACAACATAAAAATATCCACAAAGCGCTGACATTGCTCGACAGTTGCTAATCAATTAGCTGCTGTCTATCTATAGTCTAGTAATGTCTAGCATCAGACAGTCGGGCGCTTGTTTGGAACTGCGACAGAATACCCTGGGTTTCTTAGTGCGCCGCCACGAGACGAGGCCATGGAAGATATTAATGGAATCCTTTGTGTTACTTACTTTACTTGACCAAGCACGATGGCGGGCGAGGGATGCTTCCTTGCATCCCACGCAACGCCGAGGTAATTTAGACATTCGTAAAATTTGGGGCCAAAATTCTAGCCATCCCATAGTTAATCCACAGTAATGGTCCATCAGTTATCTGTCGTCGCGACAACAACGATGGGGCGCCCCCTGGAAAAATTGGCACCTGCCAGCTGGGACCCGACACAAACTGACATGCGAAACAGTCTCTCTGAAAAGTGGGGTGCAGTGGAGACTCGGCCACGATCCGTCGGAACGCCATGATGGATGTGTCACTTCCGTATCCAAAGTGTACTATACCAGCCAGAATGCGTCCAGGATGATTCTCATCAAGAGAATCGGCTTCTAAACTTAGTGCTGCAATTGATGAAAAGATCCGAGACTTCTTGCGTACCTTACAGGCGCACTGTGTTGTTTCTAATTCTGTATGCCTGCAGCAGCATCCGGAGATATCGGATGCTGTGGATAAGATAGTGGTCTAGTAGTACTGAGTGTTAGCCGTGTTGGTCCTATTGTGCTTCGTGATTGGTGTGGCTCATGTGGGCGCTTAAGACACTTTACTTGACGGGGAGCGTCCCATCCTAAGAATAGCCCACTCCAGGTCTTTTCACCACCAAATAATGTGGTCAGGTTGATATCTTTCATTTAGTGGCCGGCCGATCATTTCCTCGATGAGTCGGATACCAATCATTTCCCCTTGGCGATAGAAGAAATTTCCCTTTCGTACTTGTGTGTTTTGGGTATGAAACATGGAAGCAGGGATTTAAGTATTTCCTCCGCTGAGTTGACATTCTGGGCGCACCCGAAATAAGGCTTAGCGAACCCCTCATTGTCAATCCTTGGGAATGTCTGGGATTACCTGTCATTTTAAGTTTCTGATGATCAGGGATGCTCCTTGAATGACAGTTTGGCACGAAAATGTTCCAGGCTGTTTTCGCCGACTACTTGTGCTGGTACAGTTATTTTGAGCTAGCTGCAAGATACTGAAATAAGAAATAAGCCGTTGGTGTCAGCAAGACTGAAAAAAGAAAAAAAAGAAAAAAAGAAAAAGCGTGGGCGATGGCCCTTCCCTGCCGCACCGAGAGAGCGTCTCCAGAATAAGGGACCGTCAGCATGGTAAAGTTTTGAAATCTCATCTGGATCAATTAAGTTACACGCATCAGCATATTTACGTGGTCTGCCACGTGCGGATACTTTGGGTGGGATTCGGGTGTCGTATTACCATCGTGTACGGAAAGGCTCAGTACGTGAAGCCCCTGAGTGCACGTCCATGTCAGCTTCATTGAAATTCCTGAGTAAAGCGGGATTACTTGTCATCTGTCGACGCCCCAAAAGAAATGGAGCTCGCTTCTCTGTTTCAAGCAAATGGTGTCTCTTATCACACATAAGGTCATATAATAAGTTGTGGGTCAGTTCAGATTATTAGGATTTTGGAGGCACACAACCGGAGTAAGATTCCCTACCCATATTATTACTGTAGGGAATTGATAGAGCCCAGACCAGTAGTGCATGCTAGTACCCAAGGTTAGGTAGAAGTCACAGGATTTTGGAACATCTAGAATACCCTGTCAGCACACCAGTGAAACGAAGCCACGATGTTGGGACGTCCAGAAAAGTGAGGGGTGGAAGAGAAAGGAGGAAAAGGAAGCAAAACATGCCCCACCAGAGAGGCATCTGTCGCTGTGCAACAATATTGGGGCTGGTTATCAACACATTCTAGAACTCCGTGACGTGGTGCACTGTGTTACTTCATATTATCGTAGTGGAATAGTTTTTACCGCGACCAGCCACGGAGCTGATCCGTCGCACATAGATGAGCCAAACTTAGCAACATTGATCCGGGAACCTCGTCGCCAAACATTTTCGGCTATCGGTCATTTCTACCATGTGCGACGACATTCTGACCAAGACGAGACAACATGTGGATAACCTATGACATAGGGAGAGAGCCACATTACAGGATGGATGCCACAGCGCGACCCGAGGGAGCGGTGAAAAAGAGGAGCAAAGTGCTGCGCCTCACTTCGATCAGTCCTCATCGCGGCATTAGCGCACGGGGATCTTCCAATGGAAAGTGCGGTAAGATCCGCCCGGTGACACACGATGGAAAAGTATTAACTATTAAGATGTGGCTCAACAAAACATGTGGCGCTAAGGTCGGGTCGGGAACTCCGTCCTCACCGACTTAGCGTCTCTTCTTTTTGCGCCCCCCTTCGGAGAAGAGCGTCGGGTGTGTGCGTTCGTCACTGGTTTTCAAATTCTTCGAACCCAACCGCTTGCATTCTACATCTGCATACTGCGCCAAACCCGCTTCTGTGGCTTGATGACAAGGGGGATAAAGTCCATTGCCTTGTAGATTGTCAAGTTCGAAGCGTTTTGCAGACCAAGTGTCCCCTAGGCCCACAATATCTTGTCATTTCGTGTAGATGGCCTCCTCTGTGAAGGACAATCAAAAATGGGAGGGGCTTATTCAAGGGACTTTTCACTATAAAGTAGTAGTAATAATAGCCACAGATCGGTTGTTTCTTTGTCCTTTGTTAGTCCTGTCATACTCATGTATTGTGATCGTACGGAAGTATGGGAGGGTATGTAACAACACTACTCAGCCTTGCATGAGCCACAGTGGACCCACTCAACCTGGCAGCCACGATGTCATTTTTCTCATGTTTGACTTGCGTTCCATACCGGTTTGATTGAAATGGGAAGAATGAAGCGACAGCTTCGTGGGACTAAGCCAAGGCATGTCATGATCCTTTTGACAGCCATGCTCTCCTACGGTGAACGTGCGATGGACCGTCGTGTGCCCCCCAACGTGTTCGGCGTATTTGAGGACGGCACTATTGAAATCTATAATATTCCACATTATAGCAAAGTCGTAGATTGCCCGCCCACACACATTCTCTCTTTCTCTCTCGAGTGGAGGGTGAAAAAAATGTGCGGCTCTGTCTATATCGAAAACCCTAGTCCCGTGTTCGTCCAGTTTGGGCAATATGATTGTCCTCGCCCGACGCCCTAAATGAGAATCGTCTTCCCGTCTGGGACAATCTCGGAAGTCTGATTGGATCGAAGAGGGTCGTCGGTCCATGACGCTTCATTTGCCCGTCGTGAGTTACTGACCAATCGTTCCGATCGCTGGAAAATGCACGTTTCTGAAAGGGGTGTTGTTAGGGAGTGGAGCTGAGCTAAGATCGTCAAAAGGACCCATGAGGTCGGCGACTTGAGCGATGGGTGTTCGGAACTGGCGGCCACGGCCCAGATCCAGTTGCTTAGTTTGCTGCTAGTAAGAGTCCTCCACGTCCCTCCTGGATTGAGAACGATCTGAACCACATTGATGGGACGAAGGAAGCGTCCCGCCATGGGCATTTTTTTTCGTTTTTTTTCTTTTTTTTTTTTTTTTTTTTTTTTCACAGCCTGAGGAAAAGAATGACAGATCGACCACTGACGGTAGAATCGATTACCCTTAAACGTTCAAAACGTCTGTTTCCTCTGCGGTGTGTGTTAAGTCAATGACACATTCGCTCGTTTGGATTTCTCCTTGAGGATTCGACTAGATACTAAATGGTTGGACGCGCACTACTAAGCGGATAGGTCACCAAGCACTAAAAGTTGCCCAGTCCGTATCCCCGTGATGGTGTAGCCACTAGCCTATAAAACATAGCAATTATCCGCTCGCAGGAGGTCACATCGTCTAGTGAAAGACATTGAGGAGGGGGGAAAGAAAAATTTTTTGCCACCATCTTATCAGGAACAATGGCCGTGCCATGATTAGCAGGAATGCGGAGGAAGGGAAATAAACAAATATCCAACCGCTAAAACTGCTACGTAACCGACAAGGTTTGGTAGATAGTCAAATGGGCTACCGACAAATTAATGCCAAGTTTTCAACCGAGGATGGACGTATGCCACTACGGACTTGCCGATGACACCTGCGGATACGAATGTCAGGAATGCACGGGGTACGGCGACCCCGTAGTAGGCATCCAGGTCTCCAGATCATTATTTCCTAGTATCGTCCTTAGCTTATATTATTCACTTTTAATTTATTACGATCGATCGCGTAGATACTTGGGTTCTAGACACATTCGAAGGGACGTGTTTCATAAATGACTACGACTTATTCAGGAGTAATGTGGTACTTGGTACGATACGGGCTCGCGAATTCCCCAGTTCGACAGTACCTGACATGCAAGTGGTGCGAAAGACGAAACCACACAGAGGCATGGATAAGAAGTATCCAATTAAAAATCCAAGAGACGATGAATGAAATAGAACAAACTCAAAAAGGAAAAACGGGAGGAGGGGATGCACGGAATTTCGGAAAAGAGCGACTCGATTAAGATTCTGATAGGGCCCAAATTCCAAGGGCGATTGTATGAAATGCTTGCTAGAGGTTAGTAGTTGTGGAGGCTTTGACAAAAGTTTGGGTGGCCGTGGAGTGGATCGCAGATGGGGTTCCCTTATTACCATTTTAGGTAATCATCGGGGAGGACCTCTTGGGTATCGAGCATCTCCGAATAATACTGTATTATTTGGGGTTGTAACGATTACTCCCTACGAGTGTAAGTAGATAAGCACATGCACAATCTGATCAGAAGATTGGTGACTGATTCAGGAAAGAGGGCAAGAAGAAGAAAAATAATGCATTGAACGGACGAATAACTGTTTACAGTATCGTGTAGAGGAAATCGAATGGAAACAACCAAACACAATAATCGACAGATTATTTTCTGATAGAGGATAAGGGAAGAAAAAGTATTGAAGGATAAAAATGAGCATATGAATCTATCCTTACGATATTATTCGTGAGCAGATCACTTTAAAATGAAAATGACCTAAAGAAAATAAAGAAAAAGGGGAAATAAAATGAGAAAGAAGAAGAAAATCAAAATAGAATAAGGAAAAAGAAAAAGTAGAAAAAAAAAAATCCCAAGCAACAGAAAGTTATCCTGCAAGTGAACCCTCCGGCTGGCAGTGCAGGAAGGATGATGCATGATGGCTAGTGGTAATACTTATTTTCGTACACTGACTTGACCCGACTAGCAGTACGGCGTATCGAGGTGCTAATAATACCACATACCTGACCTACTCCTACCACTTGGTTTAGGCCCGGTTCACTGCCTGCCCCTGCTCGCCCGGCATCTCCACCTTTGCAGTTCTACTTTGCCTACTAGCAGCGTTACCCCTGTTCCTTTTTTTTTTTACCCTTTTCTTTTCTTTTCTTTTTATTTTCCAATTTTATTTTAATTCTTTTCTTTTTTTTCAGTCCTCCACTCTAGTTAGTTAGTGGTTAGTTAGTGGTCCTTCCCTCCCCACCACCCACCACCCACTAACCATCATCATCATCATCACCACCACCACCATCATCATCGGCATCACTCACACCCACACCCACAACCCACCCCAGTCCGTTTGGAACCGCGCTAAACACTAGGCTCTACTGCTCCCCTGTCGCGATGGTGCACGCAAACCCCCCGCCCCAGTACTATCTAGTCGGGCGATGGGCTCGACTCTTACTTTTTAGTGTGGTTTTTCCTTAGTTCGTCCGTAGTTGGTCAATCCCAGTCCAGTCCACTGAATATCCACTCCGTAAAGTCCTACACTGCGCGACTCATAGGGCCAGCAATCATATAACATTTATCTATGCTTTTACTCCCTCCCTCCCCCCTCCATCTGATCTTCCTCTTCCATCCTCATTCCGCATTCCTCTTTCTCCCTCACATCCGGGTCGGACCTTGGTGAAGCTGTCAGCGAGACAACTCTCCCATTACCATTACAAAAAGGGAATCGTTACCTACTTTGTTCCTCCTCTTCTACCTCCTCTGCAGTGCCCTCTCCTTCTTCCTCAAAGCAGTGTCCCACCTACCTTCTTTTATTTTTACCTTTCCAAAGACCCCATTGCTTCGCACCTCATCATCCATCTTCTGCTGCTTGCGGTGTTAAACTTTTGCTGCCTCTTCTGCCTCCTCAGCGCCCCAAGATTCGGATCTGCAAGTGACAACACACTTCGTCGCCTTGCAGTTGGTACATCCAAACCCCGAGCTTTAGACACGTTTTTCGAAAGCTCCCTCTTTTGACCTCTTTGGAAAATTCCCCGAACCTCGTTTGGAGCTTGCTCGTCTCGTCACTACTAGGCTCCCGCTAAATACCAAGACTATCAAGCCATAGTAGGTTCCCCGAGCGGGCCGTTCCCAATCTTTGAACTCAATAACATTCTCTCCCAAGCCCTCGGGTCCAGGGGAGTCTTGCCGGACATTAATTCCATGCCATTGATTGAGACATCAGATTGCTAACGCTCATCATCTTGCAGATCGGTTGCATCCCTCCTCTTCTTCTACATTAACCCTCGCATCCTCCCACCTGGAAGCCAAGGAACGAACCAACCACTGCACGGAGCGTGGGCATGCAATCTCACGCAGACAACTCCGACTTCGTACTATTCCCTACCCACTTCACCGGTGACAACAAAATGCTGGCTTTGGATTCGTCCAGACAGCAGCAGCATCCCCCATACTTCCAGTCCTACCCCATGGATCCTAGCACCTTTATCGATCCTCTTGCCTTCCATGTGGACGATCTAGGTTTCAGCCAGACCCACGACCCATCCGGTGTACCGCAGTCCTCCAACTACGGTACGCCGCCTGTCTACTCGGAGTCTTACTCGGACCCCAATAAAGCTGCCGGATTTCCACCCATGCCCGCCACTCCCCCGTCCCTGCCTTATACTTCTGACCACTTCATTCCTGGACTTTCTACTGCGTCTGGTCCCTCGGTTGCAAGCGCCTCCTCCTCCGCCATCGGATCGCCCAGTACGGGTTCTGCGCATGTCATCTCGGAAGACTGGGTCCAGACAACGAATGGCTTGGGGCTTCCCACTGCGGTCATGAGTGACTTATTCCCCAATGAGTATTTCGGCAACACACTGGACTCGGAGGGTTTCTATCAGCAAAAATGCCCAGAAAGCTTTGTTGGTGGGTTACAAGGTCCGATACACTGTCCTCCGGCCCCTGCTGACCACTAGATTACCTCAGACCCGTCTGTTATCCAGCCAATGCTACAGCAACATCCCATCCACCCACCCACCATCTCATTCCCGGAACAGCCTGATTATGTGGTATCGCAAAGCGCGTTCCTTCCCCAGTCCCCTGACCCTTCCCACCTCCATCCTTCGGAGAGCTACGGTGCGAACCAACCGTTCGCACAGCACCCCAATGTTGTGCCGACCTCTTCCCCTTCCATGGCTCCTGCCCTTCCCCAGTCACGACCACCTTCCTCCTATGACCGGAGGTCATCAGTTTCGTCGGTTCAGTCCCAGCGCTCTCATCCGAGCCCGGCTGCCAGTATCGCAGAGTCCGACGATGACACCAAGGAAAAGGGCCGATGCCCTTTCCCGGAGTGCAGACGTGTTTTCAAGGACCTCAAGGCTCATATTTTGACACACCAGTCAGAGAGGCCCGAAAAATGCCCCATCGTCACCTGCGAATACCATATCAAGGGGTTCGCACGCAAGTATGACAAGAACCGCCATACTCTTACTCACTACAAAGGAACGATGGTTTGCGGTTTTTGCCCGGGGTCTGGGTCACCCGCGGAAAAGAGCTTTAACAGGGCGGACGTCTTCAAGCGCCACTTGACATCCGTGCATGGCGTCGAACAGACACCACCCAACTGCCGGAAGAGGAGCCCAGCTGCAGCGGCAAGCAAGGGAGCATCTAACTACAGCCCCGATGCGACCGGCAAGTGCTCAACTTGCTCCGTTACGTTCAGCAACGCCCAGGACTTCTACGAGCATCTGGACGACTGTGTGCTTCGGGTTGTCCAACAGGAAGAGCCCAGCGAAGCCATCAACCAGAAGCTGCTTTCCGAAGTTGATGCGGATGAGGAGGTGCAAAAGACGATGGAGAAACACAACTTGAACGACACGGCTGGCACCGTCGACATATACAATGACGAATATGATGATGACGATGATGACGCTTACGAATATTCGAACCTGCGCTCGGGCAAAGGCTCCCTGAAGAGCACCAAGGGATCAGGGGCGGTGGCCCGTCCTATTCTGGGCGTCAACAACGCTGTCACGAAGGGTTCGTCCAATGCCAATGCTAAGATGCGTGCAACTACATCCAAGCGACGAAACAACCGCGATCGTTACCCCCAGTCCTGGGGTTGCCCTAGCAGCAGCATCAAAACGAAGAAGCGTGTCCTCTGTGTCTTTGATGGACAGCGCCGTCTGTGGAAGGACGAGATGATGCTCGACAATGAGTTCGAAGTCCGCGTCAAGCTTCCGGGTGGTGCAGGGGATGGCACTAACCGCGAGGCTTACGTGACTGACTTGGATGTCGAGACACTGAAGCGTGCGGAGGGTGTTCTCAGTGCCAATGACGAAGAACGCGGCCCTTGGGTCGACAATCAGTCCACCCAGCTCATTGGACAACCGGCTGTTTTGCTGCCTGATACGTACCGGCCGCATGACGCTGAGTCCATGGATATGACCTACTAAGCCCGGAGGAAGACAGGACTCCATTTCCATCCATTCCCCCTCTTTTGTTCGATTCTGACTGTCATATTTTGCATATTGTGGGTTTTGCATCTGTGGCATGACGAGAGCGATTTTTTTTGTGTTCGACCAGTTTTATCTTGATACCACCACTCTGCAGATCTTTCTTGTTCTATTGATGGGCACCCATGGAGGCTGCGCCCGTGGTCCTGTAATAATATCCCCTATGTTTACTTCTGGTTTTGGTTATGGATTGGGCGTTTGGGAAACTAAAACGAGACTATCTTGGAATGCAGGCCATATCCTACTTTAAATTGGGAAGGTATATTCTTCAGAATGTAAGATTCGCAATTGAGCAAGCATATATATCGTTGCCTCTATTTGAACAGCGTGAACAAGGTTTCAGCAGTAGATCTATCTATCTATCCGTAGTCGGGCCGGCCAGCGATCGGAGTCTTCTGCCCGCCTTTTGCCCCACACTTTCCCCTTCCCGCGGATGTCGCATGGCAGATTGCCTTCCTGATCAACAACCCAGATCACACACACACGCCCTCGCAAGATGCAGTTGGGTCTCTCCGAAAGCCTGTCTTCCCTGGTAAGCAGGCGATTTGTCGCTGCCAGGGATGCCGGTCACTTAATCTTCTCTTCGACGCATCTTGCGACCGTCCACACATCAAGCATACCGGTAACTAAGCCACCCCCATCCATCCCCGCACCACACACACACACACATACACATACGTTCTCTCAGTCACTGTCCGTTCTACTGTCTCCGACTCCAGCTTACTGACTTTTCTCTCTTGTGCTGTCTAGTATCAAGTTCGCTATTGCCCGGCTCTTGCGAAGAAACCCACAGGCGCCCCTAAGCCTGACAAGGCCCCCAGTGGCCCGAAACCCGATCCCTTCCAAGATCCGTCTCCCGACCTTCTCCTCGCTCAGATCCCCCGTGAGAACCCGTCACACGTGCTGGTCTTGAACAAATTCCCTGTAATACCGAATCACTTTATTCTTGCTACGAAGGCGTGGCAGTCGCAGACAGACCTCCTCGACAAGGAAGACCTGGAAGCCGCATATGCCTGTATCAAAGCATGGGCCGAGGGAAGTCAGCCGGAGGGCCAAGGGAGCAAGAAACTCTTTGCCTTCTTCAATTCTGGTGACGAGAGCGGTGCAAGTCAACCTCACAGACATCTACAGTTTCTTCCCGTCGAAGCCATGGCACAAGGTGACTCTGAAAACTGGCAGCCCCTGATTGACGCCGTGGCCCGGCAGCCTACATCCAGCGGGACTGGTTACCAACATTTGGCTCAGGTGCCTTTTGCGCATTTTGCTCGTCCCTTGCCACCAAACCCCTCTAGTGAGACTCTCCATCAGATCTACCTGTCTTTGTACAGAGCGGCAGTAGCAACGGCAAAGGGAGGCCTCAGTGACGCCGGCCAAGTCACTGGTCCTGCTGCCATTAGTTACAATCTTGCTATGACCGAGACAACCATGATGATCTGCCCGAGGCGGAGTGAAAGTGCCCGGATTCTGGTTGACTCGACAGCAGCTGTAGATGTCGCCGAGGCGGGCGTTGTCGCACTTAATGGCACAGTCCTTGCTGGTACCCTGATGGTCAAGGCCGAGGCCGAATGGGACGAGTTGCGTCGGAACCCTACTTCGCTACATAATGTGCTTGCAGCTATTGGATATCCTCAGCCAGATGCGCGGGAAGTTTCTTTGTTGTAGATCGATATGAGCAGTGATATGACTTGATTAGATATTTTGCATGATAGGTATATTGAATAGAAGTAATTGAGCGTCTTTGCGGCAGACTTGTAGCAGGACTACGCATAGCAATATGCAATCCTCGGTCTGTATGGTTTCATATTCAGGAGTGTTGAACGGCCATCGAACAAGAGAGTCTTAGTAGGAGCTGCTACTTAGCTGAGTCCGAGTAAGCTCAAGGGTAGACAATCCGCCACGGACGCATCAGCTTACACTTACAGACCAACTACTACTAGTACTTAACAGAGAAGTCTTGGATAGAAAGAAGCTAATCACGTGGCGAGGCAGTAGCTGGAAGTTGCGATGGCAGCTTCTCTATTAGTCTCCTGCCAATTTCCTCCTGGATTCCGTTGACAACCCCCAAACCGATCATGATTGTATGCTCAATCCACAACACTCCTAGTAGTTCTATCGGACCAAGTGAATTCTATCTGACTGAGAGAATAGACAACGATAATGGAGACAACACAACTGGCCCTTTACTATCCCCGATTCTGCTTCGATATCGCCCTCCCCACTCTTCATTTGTTCACTGATCGCTCCCTCACAATAGGTGAGTCTTTCTTGATTGCAAGTCCATTTGACACTGAAAAGGCTCTCAACCGACGGAGTTTATTAGGAATCTTTGGCAACCCATTATAACTCTCCCCACTCCAATCAACCTTACATCTTCACGCCATGGACTTCGCACCACTTCTTTTTGCAGGTAGCATTTCCAAAATGATAGGTTCCTCCATGGGCTCTGATATACTGAGCCACCCTCTTCCATGAAACCTTTGGCAATTGATTGTCAATGCGAGCCCAGCAGAAGGAGTAACGGCTTTTGTCATGGCCCGTGGTTTCTGACAACACGTTAACCGCCTCACAGAGAAGACGAATCTACCGTGAATCAGTACCAGCTTCATGCACACCTAGGAGGATAAACAAAAGTAACCGGGATAGGTGACTTACGTCGTTTTGGTGCCATTGTGGCTTCCTCACGCGTTGCTCTTTAGACTTTGTCAACGTGCGGAATCTGCCACGAAGAGTCGACTCGGCCTCCTTGAACCCGCCAATCCTTTTGATATCTTTATATGACAACCCACGGAGCTTGCAGTCAATTAAGAATGCGTTTCTCTTGTCACGGAGGCACGTAAGTGGCCTGCCAAGTAGTTTCCCCTGGTTAACGTGGCTTATGTCACTGGAACTCGGTAGCGACCAAGGCTCATTAAGTCTATACCGACCCTCATGGTGTTGGTAGGAACTGGTGATAGGGAAGGATTCATCACACCCTTGGTTGGCTGCACATCCACTTCCGATCGAAAGCATGGCTGGGCAATCAGCCCTTTGGGAGCCCCATGGGAGGAGTAGGGACTGGGAAGCGCTTGAACCGTCATTCACGAATGTGGACGGATCCAGATGAACGTTCGCTGCCGCAAGCTGAGCCAGTGCGCTGTTGATTTCTCCGTAAGATTGCGCCTCATTCGACAGGTTCCCTGCGTCCCATGTGGATAGACCAGAACTAGTGTCTTCATTGGATGAGTGCGATAGCTGATGAACCTGCGCAGCTAGCAAAGGAAGTGATGTCCTAGCTGCATCAAGAATACTATCTGCAGCTGGTGCTGGAATCTCAAGTGACGACTTTGGGGACTCAGATAGTGCTATTTCTTCCACGCTTGTCCACTCTCCTTCAAGAAGAGGCGCACTGTCCTGAGATATGCATTCATCGAGGATAGTTATGGGTGCCCTGAGTGGTGTTTCCCCCTCCGCCAGAAGGGATGGGACGGGCTCGCTGATCGCAAAATGATCATTCATATCATCGGCCTGGTGGTTTTTATCAGAAGCAGCATCGCTGGAATAAAGATTATCATCGGCGAATAATGTCTGTGGAACGCGTGGATGGGGATCAAGGATCTCGAACTGACAGCCATCCTCAACTTTAATGAAGTGCATTATCTCCTGCGGCTTGTTGTGATGAGTCTGCTCTTCAGATAGAAACTGAAGCCCGTGTGCTGCTGCTGCGGTTCTTCCGGGTTCGAAGACTGAATAACAGTTGGGAAAACAATAAGGGCACCCTATCTGAGGCAAGTCTCGCATTGTCATGTCGTTGCTCGTCATCTTGATGTAATGTGTATGCAGTTGCTCGTCGTTCTCCATGAGGTGATGTGTATGTTCGCGTTCAAGGTGTATCACAGAGAGCTCTGAGGTGGTGTCTTGCCAGGTAGAAGGCCTTCCATGGGAGAGTGACTCGCGGTTGTCTAGGAAGAAGAGATGGGAATGAAAGTCCAACGCAGTAAGGCTTTCCATACGGGCAACTGCCTTTCGGTCCCTTGAAGCGACCAGGACGCGCAGCATGGCTTTAAACAGAGACCAATATCTTCTTGCTCTCTTCACCGCTACTGTCCCCTATGCTCTGGATAGACGTTGGGCAAATACTATGCATTGGATCCTGGTGTCAGGTCATGCACGCTATCAGGCTACTAGGGCACCTGCAGGGACTGTTGTGGCTGCTCAGTACACCAAGATCTATATGGAGGGGTTTCACTTTCTCGGATGACTCACCAATAAGGGCTGAGTGTTGTTGACTCTGCGATTGTTTGATTTTCCAAATTGAGTTGCAAGGAACCAATGACCGAAGGTCTCAAGATCAGACGGGCTTTCCCTGAAGGCAACACGACTGAGCGGTGGAGGAAGTAATGGGCACAAGGCGCCTCTGACGGTGTGGTTCCCGCCTTCTCTGCAGTTGCTCGACGACCGAATGAGTGATGCTTCTTCTTGTCCGCCACAGATGGAATGGCAATGATGTCTCAGAAGTCTAGCCTCTTAGGCAACAGTTGCCATTCGAGAAGTAGCTGGACAGGGCTCATGGAACTCACGGTTCGCTCTATGAGAGGTGATGTCTTATCCAACTGAGGATGTAGAAGGCTGTCTCAGTTCCCAAGGTAACGACACAACACCGCGCTCGAGGACAAGAGAGATCTGACTCGAGAACACCGGAGCTTTTCAACATCAATATAAAGCCATATTGATGACCCTTTCACGCCCTCACGCATTAGGCCCCTGAATTACATGGCTACCATGTTCCGATATGGCTTGAACTGTTCGCATCGCCGTGAGCTTAACCCTTGTTCTTTCCAAGTTTATATCGGCCTGAACGCTAAAAAATAGCTGACCGAGGCACTATACCCTTTTCTGTTCAAAAAAGGCATGAGAATTACGGAACAAGATCAATTACGGCACATGGTTCGGTTTAACACAATCTCCCAAACTCCCATAACGATCAGTCAGACTCTACTTTTGCAGTTTGCCGCGCATAGTCCGAATGACGATCCTCGAAAGAAGAGCCATCTTCTGTGGCGCAGAAGATGAACTCTGGGAAAGGGGAACTCAAAGTTCTGGTGTTCAGACGAAGTTGAACTGGTGTGGTTGTTTTGCAGCAGTGGACGCCAATCGGGTAGCTACATAGGGCTTTGTTCGCACATCCGCTTTATCCTACCATCCTCAGGCGATGCGGTGGCTGCGACCTCATACCAAAGAATCCAGAACACTTATTACCTCCAGAAAATGGGACGTTTGGCCGGACGGTTCGGAAATCTCCCGTTCGGATCTGCAGGTGTGGTTTTCTCCGCCATTGGCTCGACTGACATGCTTTATCTGACTGCTTTCTTTTGCCCTAACAGCTGCGGACTTTTTAAACCCGCGCTACCGCACAAGCCGGAATCAAACTGCATATGCAGATCATTCCCATCATTCAGGTATCCACCAGAGCTCAGACAACTGCACGCTACCTAGGGCCTATGTATTCTGAAGATCAAAAGTGCCGCAGAAGCTGTTCCCATGAAGACCAATAACAAGGGAGCAAGTAGAAAGTTGGAAAGAGCAGCGTCCGTGTTGGTCCTGCAGGATAAGGTTTCCCGATTCACCGCTTGATTCCATCCAAATACATTGCACCCCAGCTTTCACCGGGTCCTGCCAGCCCCAAACGCTTCTGCATCCGTCATTGTGCAAATCAGACGTGCCCATATGTCATGGCGAAGCAGTGGGCGCAAATGTCGGTCGGAGATTAAGCTTAACCCGCTCTTCAAGCCAAACGTCGGATGGGTCTCCGGTTTGCTCCCTAGACCCCAGAGAAGTGAAGTCCGGCTTGAGAGGTCGACAGGATCTGCATGAGCCATTTCTTCCGGACATCCAACCTGGTGACAGGGTACTTCTGGAATTTACATCATACGGCACCTACACATAACATCTCATGGTACTTTCTGGCCTCACTTCCACCACTGTCGTCTCGCACAATGCAAGACAATGCAAACAATCCCTGATCAAGAACAAAAGAAAAAGCAAAGACAAACCACACTCAAACCCCCCTGATCCCTACCAGGATCAGAATTTCCTTCCCCGCACGATCGTTATTTCGCTCCGTGTGGCTCATTGCAGATCTATCATGTGCACTGTATGTTTGCACCTGCTGGAAATCCTATGTATAGTCTGTGTGGGTCTTCCCCCCGGACACCATCCCCAAGCATGTGCACATATACACGCGTACATGTATGTATGTATGTGTGCACGGGCTGCAAATGGGCTTTTTGTGACTTACCGGGGGTGGGGGATGGAATGGGGTGGTGACAGAACTAATTTCCTCTATAGACAGGGGAGCTTACTAGCCTGTCCAAGGTCAACACAAAGAAGAAGGGAAAGACAGAAAGTACTGACCTGGTCTGGCCTAGCCTGACGCACTGGATTTTTTGAGAGTTGCACACACCTTCCCTGCGGGAATCCCGGATGTTGGGTAGAAACGGTGACACCGTCGGGATGAGCATGTTTCACGAGTTTCACCACACCCTTTCCTTTTCGCTGAGAGACTAGACCAGTCCAGCACGGTCCACTCACCACGTATCCTTGAGGAACAAACCGGAAAAACAAAAAATAGAAGAAGAATATCATTAAGGAGACACAATGCGTGGGATGGTGGCGGTAGGGATCTGAGCGTCCCATTGATGATGACAATAATGAATTATTCTACGACCCGCTGCAAATTCCCGGGATGAGCATGCGTAAGACTAGCTCAGATTGACGAGCTTGAACCTGAAGAAATTCGGAGAAATAACAGAAAAAACTACAGTGGGGACTGTCGGTGCTAAGGAAGCAAGTAGGGGAGGAAGACGGCAGTAGTCTTTCTCTTATGTCTGTTCCCGCTGCAGCTGCCGTCGTTCCGGTTTGCTGACGACGGGCCTTCCTCCTGCTGCTGCTGCTGGCTTGCGGCAATGGCGTGTCTGTCTTCTTTGAAATCTTTTTTTCTAATTCACGTTCATTGCGTGAATCATGACTATAATCTGCTTGCAGTTTTGCTTTTTCCTGCTTTTTGCTGTTCATGTCCTCAGCAAACCCTGGCTGGTCGAGGCGTGAATGGAGGTATTCCTTCCTACTGGGAGCTCGGGAACTAATTTGTTATTTCCACATGTATGTATGCTAGAACCCTGCGCGGGTGTCGGTAGATGACAGTTCCATCCCTCAACAGCCAGGCCATCCATTGCCCTACGCAAAGTGGATAGATGGTTAGATCGTCGCAGGCCCCAGCTGGCCGCCATTTTTCCGGCCCTTGGCATAAGGATATGATTGTACAGGGGATGATGGTTCATGCAGGAATGATAGTAAGTAAAGAATGGGGTCCGCCAGGGTAATTTCAGGGTACTTCGCTTTCCTGCGTCCGTCCGCCGTAGCTCTGGTACCGGTCCAAAAGCCGGTCCATCAGCAGCACTGTGACTTTCGTCAGCAGATGGATCTAAGCATCCTTTCCATCCCCAATGCATGGCTAGTAGCTCACCCATGAACAATGTAAGAGTAAACGCATATAATATGGCGGGGGATGTCATGAAAGAATAGACGAGCGGAAAGTGACGAGAGAAACTCATTAGGCTTCCAAGGAGCATACCAAGGGACACGCGGGCCGCTGCGCTGATGCCCATACATCTGCGGAGCGTGTGGCGACGCGCTAATAAAACAAAAGCACCAAAGAACATCATGGAGAGTGACGCCACGGCAAAATAGTACACATAGACGAATTCTAGGAGGGCCATATACCCTCTCAGCAGCTGCTCACTACTCAAGCGGCCAGGATCAGGGTGGTTCGAAGGCATGATCCGCATGGTGGAGAACAGCGCCGCAGTTACATTCCCTACCAGGTCACTGAGCATGTCTCGGGCGATGGGGACTTGGCCCGTCCGACGGGAGGGACAAAGCGGGTGATTGGGGAGATCATCCAAGATCCGGGAGATTGTAACCTGTTCGTTTACGGCCCCTCGGCTATAGTCGATTTCCATATCAGCAATGGTGGCTCGAAGAATTTGGATGGCGTAGTCGGGTCTGGGCCGTGGGTCTTCACAAGCCCATAAAATGGTTTCCGCTAGGTACCGGAGTTTCAATGTGATATCCAGACTTAAGGCAAGGATCTGAGACCCTTCAAGGAGTAGAATGAGGACCACATGGAATGGGAAATGTAGCTGGGCCCATATTTGCTGAGAATACTTGCCCAGAACACGTCTGGGAGAAAGGTCGAAGTAAGCTTGCCACAAGAAGTACTGAGATTGACATATTAGGATTCCGATTAGAATAGAACTGAACAGTGGGTCAGTCAATCATCGGGGCCATACCACACTAGTTGTAACGCCTAGGATATGGACAAACGACCACTTCGTCCAGCCACCAGGGCCTACTGTCCGGTTGACGAGCCTAGTGACAGATATGACACCTTCACCGATTATGATCAGAGTTAGGAGGCCCATTCTTGTGTTGAGATGGGTATCTTGAAGTCCAATCCCAGGTGTGGCGCTTGAAGTTCCCATTACTACCCACATCTCGACCCCAAACAGAACAAACCAAACGGTCCAAATATAGGGGTTGACTCCTTCACGGGGACGGAAGGCATAATACATCTACAGCAAGTCAGTTTGACAAGGGTACGAGCTAACCGATGGTTGTCTGCCTTGGATAGCTTACCAGGAGGTAGGTCAAACTTGAGACAAATTGCATCCCGGCAATGATGGATACGCCCCGAGCTGCAGGTATCATACGCCGTCGAAGAAACACGGCGTTCACAGTGTATTGCAAGGCGAGTAAGAGCCGACTGCCACCGAGGATAAGGCTCAAGGACTGGAAGGCCCAGACATTTTCTGGCTGAACACGTGTGGTGAACCTTGAACCTGCCGATGCAAATCCAACCATAGCAGCCAATTGAATGGCCTTGCAGATTCTCTCGAAGATCGAGTCTCGCGCGAAACGGATATCAAATAGTGTGACTTGAAGCCAGGTAAACCAGATGATCCCGAGGAAGCCAATGTAGGCCCACAAAGCTGGCAGCATCAGTTTGTGATCAAACCATGTTAGTGAGCTGGTATACCTTCTACGTTGTTGATTTCATGTGTAGCTGTAAAGGTGGAGAGATTTGCAACGAAGAACAAGTCAAAGAATAGCTCGATGGGTGTTGCCTCGGATTGTTGACGGAGATGCGGAAGATCTCCATCCTTCTCGTCAATTGGCGACTCAATGAACGCAATGACACTACGCTGCCTATTGAAGTTAAGAAATCACTCAAGTACCATCTCGCCTAACCGAAAGTCCAACTTACTGCGTGGCTGCTCTGGCACGCCTATTTCTACTCAACGGTTGGTCAAACCAGGACTTGAAGGGTATTGGTATCATAGTGACGGGCCTTAGGGAAGCTAGACAACTAAACGATGGGTATCATGAAATATAAAGTAAGAACAGTCCTAGTCGGTGGTCGTCAAGAAATTGGCGCAGTCGATCGGTTTCGATACGAAGAGCAACTGGTGTTGTCTCGGAAAGAGCGATGGTGATGCTCTTGGACAGGGACTTCAAAGAGGCAGCCACCGCAGACCGTGCAGAAGGCGTCAATGAAGCATTTTTGAAGCATCAAGGCTCCTCATGCTCAGAGTTGTTTGCAGATGCTGTCACCGAATTTCCAAGACCCTCCAAGCCTCGCGAACTCGCCATTTCATCGGCTGTAGAGAGGTTCCCATCCGAGCCAGGAGTGATTCCAGCCTCCTGCTTAAGCTTCTCGTAATTATCTCCGGCTTCTTTGATCAAAGCCTGGATTTCCACTTCACGAACAGCTATGTCCGCCTTCTCTTTCCTCAGTTCCTCCATACGGTCGATCATCTGAGCCTTTGACTTCTCTAGGACCGCCAAGTTCATACGCAAACGCTCGAGTGAGTTCGACAGACGGGGTAACGAGGTCATCTTGGGCGGAGTGCGCGGACGGTCAATAGGATCTCTGCTCGCACCCATAGCAGCTCGTGCCTGACTGGCGTCGTACGCTGCTTTTTCCTCCAAGTCCGAATCATCCTCATCCGACAGACCTTCGGCATCATCAATAAGTTCACGCATTTCTTCCCGCTGTTTTCGCTTTTGCTCTTTCTCTGCTTTCCTCCCAAGGGATATACGTCCGTCCTCTACAAACTCCTCAAATCCTTCTGCGAAATCTTCATCGTCACGGACGAGCCTCGTATCCTCTCGCCGCGCCTGAAGATCCCAGTCGTCCTCTTCCATATCATCCTCAAGGGAAATGAAGTCTTTCTCGGTGGAAAGTGCCGCCTCTTCCTTCGCTAACCGGGCTCTCCGAGCTTTCTTTTCTCTAATCTCTGCTTCGCTGGGAATAGCAGCAGGAGTTGAAACCTTCATGACCTCACCAAACTTTGCAGCGACATCAATTGTCTTCTCTGATTCATCCTCAGCTGCGGGCTTCGGCGTAGAGGGTGTCGAGTTTCGGAGCTCTTTTAGATATTCGTCATTGTAACTCGGCCTATCCTGCTCAGGCCCTACCCGGAGGGGAATCTGACCACCTGCACCCGACGGTGTCAAGGATCGCTGAAATGCGCTCTTCTCTATAGCCCGTTTCGCGAGCCCAGGTCGTTTGGGAATGACAACTTCGCTTTCCTGGTCGTCATCGTCGGCCATCGAGGTACTGCCGGGGCCGAACGAAAGGCGCATCTTCGACTTTTGCTTCGTTTTCGAAGTCGGAGGACGTTTGACAACAGGTCCAGAGTCTACCAGGCTTCCATTAGTATATCCATCACGTAAAGTTGAGCTTGTTCGCAGATACCAACCTTGCTCGTCGGCGTCATTTTCCTCATCATCGCCACCAATTTTGCGGGGCTTTCGGCGATTTGCAAATTGGGAACTCATTGTCAAAGCGAATGAAAAATCTTAGTAATCTCCTTGTTCGAACCGAGTCCCCAGCTATAAAATCAGCCAAAAGCCTGAAAGATGAAACCCCGCTGGCGTCACTTGCAGCTCCGCGATTCTTTGGAGCTTGCGGGAACATCATTCTTCCGGGCCCAGCTGATTCCCACTGCTTGTATCTCAAAGTTCCGCAACGCGCCCGACTCGCCGTTACGATAGGACAGTTAGACCCCAGAACACACCATTCAAGATGCCTCAAGCCCAACCCGAGTTGAAGAAGGTATATTATTCGCGATTGATTTTCCGTCCACCTTCCCCCGGTACAAAGCACCGAAGCTAACATTGCGGTTTTCCAAACAGTACATGGAAAAGCGGGTATTCTGCCAACTGAACGGCAACCGCAAAGTTATTGGTATCCTGCGAGGCTATGATGTACGTCGCGCCTGTGTCCCTCGGTTCCTACTTTCCTGCCTGCTGTGTCGCTGCTATACGAGTTGATGTGCCTTGGATGGGGTCGAATATCGGTGATATTCTTGGTTCAATCCGTGAAGTGAAAGAGGGGGCGGGGAGAGTCTGTGTATGTGTGTGCAGATTACTGACGTCTGCGCTTTTATTATCCAGGTGTTCATGAACATCGTCCTTGATGAGGCTTTCGAGGAGAAGCAGGGTGGAGAGAAGGTCGCTATCGGCATGATTGTATGTGACTTTTACCATTCCCGGACATACACGGTTTGCTTTGGAAACTGGGATGGGCAGAAAGCTAATGACGGTCTGTTCGTCTTTCTAGGTCATTCGCGGTAACTCGGTTGTCATGCTCGAGGTTAGTATTACCTGCCATGGGACTACGATTGCTGGCGTGCTTTATCAGGAGACTAATGTGTTGTCTTCTACATTTATAGGCTCTGGAACGTATCAGCGACAAATAAAGTGCTGCGGGTGGACGGGGAAAGTCAACATGTCTTTTTATACCTTCACTGTGGGAAATGATTTAATTGCAAAGGAGTTCACGGGTTGGTTGCTCACGGAATGATCGATGGCATCTCGCTTTCAAAAGGAAACAGAAAAGAAATCTTCATTTCAAACAATTTACGAGAAACACTTTACGCACAAAGAGATCTGGAACATACCAGATTACGGCATCCTTACTTAAGAGGGAGATGGGTACATTGTCCCAACGCAATGATCCATGACAGCTAGTCAGTTATGGTCTATCATTTTTTCTCGGCAAACCAATGCCCAACCTATCCCACCGGCAATAATCAAATGGGCCTCTGGAACTAGATAATACCCTGTGGAGATAACCCAGAATACTAGAAAGAATAATAAAAGTAAAAAAAGAGAACCCCCACGCCATGCATCTCCTTGACCTGAAATCAGCCCACCTCCGTTCCCAAAGTCCAAACAATGAAGAATGAATGAAGCTATACGAGTTAAAATTGGTATCTAGAATTTTGTGTAATGAAGACGGCTGTGAGTAAAGTTGAGCTCATTTCGGCTTCTGGCCGAATTTCAGTTTCAGCTTGAACCCACCGCCACTGGGCGTGGATGGGGTAGATGGTGCAGTCGTTGGCTTAGGCTGTGCTGAAGAAGCCGGGGAGGGAAGGTTTGGTATGTGCAGCTTTGTTGGAATATGCTGCGATGATGGCTTTGGACTGAATGGTGTAGTACTGGATGCCACCTTGGACTGCTTGAATGTGATACGAGGGCCCGGTGGTCCCATGCCTTGCTCTTCGCGCTTGCGTTTCGGGGCGGCTGTTGTATCTTTGGAGGGCGTGAGTGTCGTGCGGATTTTGTTTGTTCGGACGAAGTGCATGCGTCCCTGGGTTGGGTTAGCAAGAATTCAGTAGAAATGCTGTTCTCCATGATACGTACCTTTCCGAGATGCTTCACGGTCCAGTAACGAGGGTATTTCAGAGACACCATCCGAGTCGTGATTGCGTCATAGAGAACCCTGCAAAGATCGGTAAACTCGGAGAGCTCGAGTATTCCAATGCAGGGAGAATTGCACGCCGCCCAAAGAGATTCTTTCAGCAGTTGATCGCCGGAGATCTCCTTCTTGAGCGCATTCAAGGCTCCGGTAACTGTCTGTCTCCGGGCAAGGTCTGCCTGGCGAACCTCGGTCGAAGATTCCTGCTCGATAATTAGGTTATCGGTGTCGCTAGCAGGCGCTTCCTCCTTAGTTTCACGGCCAAAGGCGACTGGTGCGAGAGCCTTCCCGAACAAGTTATGTAGGCGACACCTGATAAGGGCAGAAGAGTCGTTTGACATGGTGAAAATAAACCATCGCAGTAGTTCGGGGTATTGGAAGATGTCAAGCTCAATGAGGCATTCGAACGCATCCAAGCGGAGGAGATCGTATGTTCCAGCTCGAGTATACGGCAGGAATTGCATAATATCGAGGCTCAATATTTTGGCCTCCATGAGACGCACTTGGCAGCGCAAAGCGGCGCGCGAGTAGATGTTCTGAAAAGAGCTGGACCATTCATCCATCCTGCGATACCTATCAATTTCTGCAATGGCGTCTTTTTCCAATTGTTCTTCTGCCTGAGCCTCCAATACACGCTCCATGTCAAAATCGTCCACCTCGGAGGGCCTCTCAGGCTTGCCCAGCATGGCATGGCATAGCGATTCCATCAAGGTCGCGACATAGAAGTTGTCCGAATACTGTCGCAGCATAAGCGTCGGGTCAATGAGGTAATGGGTCATGTACTCACCTCGTTGTTTGAGTTGTCGTTGAACTTCAACTTGTCGTAAAGAAAACGCTTGACCCGCATGGGCGTTTTGCCGTTAGTGTCGCGTACTTTGGATATGGACTCAGGGATGGCTAATTGAATAAAATATGCTGCTCTGTCAGAGAAGTCATTGGAGCGAGTCATAGGAGATCCTGGAAGGCAGAACAGTTCTTGGAAAGCTCTTTCGAGGTGGAACAATCCGACCCAGTCAACAGCATCCGTAGCATGTTTCACCAGAGCTCGAGCGGCAGCCACCCGAATTCCGTAGAAATATCTTCGATCCATCAGTGTTCTGACGAATATGGTCGAAATGAGCTCGTGCTCTCGCTGGATCGCCATGTATTGCAATGACTGGATATCATATATTGTCAGTTCCAGTCCAGTCACCTAATGAGTAAAGGGGTTGACTGACCTCCAGCTGCGCTACAACATCTCGATCTTGCTGAAGCTGCGACAGGTACATGTACCCTGGCATCGCCAACGAAAGCTTGCATATCCACTCAAAATCTGCATCCATGCGAATCCATTCATAGGACTCTCTGCTCATTCTCTCTTCCTCTTCTTCGCTCCAATCCCTTAGTTTCCATTCAGCAACCTCTTCTTCAGTCTGCAAAACGTCACCGAGACAGTAAAGCAGAACATCTTCCTGAGCTTCGGCATTAGGGTCGCCGCCTGTTACGGCAGCTGCACGCTCCTTTTGTCGCTTGTTTCGTTTGAGACGCTTGTACTTGGTATTATAAGGTATGTCGAACTTCGTAACACCCTCCTTGATTTCCACGATGTGTTCATAAGGCGTGCCATCAGCTTCGTGAATTCTAATGGTCATAGATCCAGTAAAAACCGGCTGGATAACTCCTGCATAGACGCCGCGTATTTCTTCCTTGACATCCCGCATGAACGCATTCTTGTCTAAGTCGCGCGTACTTGAAGCATCAGCTTGCACCTGCCGGATCATCATTTCAACCACGAGCTTCTTCTTGTTGAATCGCTGCGTGGCTTGGAACCGAGGACATCCCGCCCCGTATACCCACTGCTGGAAAAATGAATCAAGCTTTGCGTGGCCGAGTCGCTCACATGTCCTCTGGAAAAGGGAAGTCGTGACGGCACCATTCGGTATGTCACCCATCCGGGAGTTCAGGAAAAGACGGGAGATGATGCGCGACATCGTTGCCTTGCCACTCGCTTTCGTAAGTCTCCGGTCCAAGATGAACAGAACGAGCGGGGCCTTGAGCGCTATGAAATCAATTTCGGACGGATCTATCGTCAATATCGTACCCATGTCGTAGAGCGACGGACGTTCGTAGTCCAGGTCACATACTCTATCAGACATCTGTTTCAATCGAAAGCGATATTCATTATTCCCGCAGAGCTTCCGCATGAACGTATCCGTGATGTACCAGGCGACACCGACCGTTACCCATGTATCCGTTGCCTCTTTTGGCACAATGTTTACACCAATCCACTGGCAGGATAGGGCGTGAACCAGGCTGCGAGTAGAGTCATACATTGGGTCGATAATGTCTTCGGGGAACAAGAGGCGGCTGCTACATATCGATAAACAAGCCGTGGGTAGTGTGGCATCAGGTGTGTCGTCCACAAAGCATATCTTATAGCTAGCGAACGGGTACGATCCATAAGACAGTGAGAAAAAGTCAATCGCCTTCGCCATAGGAAAGCAGGTATTCCTGACTTCATCTCCTCTTCCCGGGAGGCAGAATGCGTGCAACGGTATGGCGTTTAGACCAAGCTGTTCGTCTTGATCGCTTTCGCGGAAATCGGAGAGGTTGATGTATTCGAAAGGACCTACGGCAAATCCAAGTTGCTGGGCAGATAGAGGGGAGTAGCAGGCGAACGAAACCGTCTTCTTGGTAGGGTCCTTTGGGTCGATGATTTCATCCGTCAAATCCCCGGAACAGACGACAGACAAATCAAGAGTCTCATCATCCGGAGCGATATACCGTTCATGTCCAGAAGCAGGCTTCGAGCGACTGGTACCCGAGGCGCCGGAATGATCACGGGATTTCCGATCAAACATATCACCTAAGGAGCACGGGCACTTGATCGAGAATTCCCACGTACAGCGCGACAAAGGATCGTCGACGCAGGGGAAGAGAGGACAGCAAGCGCCATACCCCAGGGAGTTGGTTGTATAAGCGTGAGGATAGCGTCTGTCGCCACTCTCTAATCCGACAAACTGCAACCCATCCCGAATATTCTCAATGACGAAGTCGATGGTAACCGTGAGGGCCGTAAAGCGTGGAAGTGACGATTCGGCTGCCTTGGCGCTCAAAGGTCCTTCTGCATCATCAGCGGAACCCGTAGCACGTAAGGTCATTTGGTCTTGAGCTTCAATCGAGGAGGGATCAAGTTCGTCGATCCGGACGCTCTTGGGGACCGTAATGAGAAGGTCAGATTCTGGCGGAGATTTGAGTAGTCCATCTATCTTCGTCGCGAGGCGCTGGTGATAATGAGGGCCGTAAAGTTGAAGCGTGTCATAAGGGTCCGTGTATTTGATGCTAGGTACCTTGCCACTGACATTGATACGCCGGAGTTCGCCTTGTCGGAAACTCAAACGGATAACGCGAAGGTCTTTGTGATGCGGATGGATCGTGAGTTCCGTTTTTCCCTTGAGGCTCTTGCTGGCAAAATCGATCTCAAGCTCGACCTTCTGATGCGCGACGGTGAATCCCAGCTCCGGCCTGACAGGCCCAGCTGGGGTCTCCACGACGCCTGGCATGGCGCAAGATACTCAGTCGTGCACTGCGCCGCGAGCGCCACGATGGCCAACTACCGTCATGTCCAAGCTCCAGGAGCGATGACTATTCCCACCCGACCGCGTTGATCCCGACAGACACTTTTGTATGATGGTATTCGATCTCGTGTAGGCGGGGGCGAAGAGACTGTTCACTGGGAAGAGATGGAGAGCTGCTTCGACGGGCGGGGAACAACACCGAAGGGAAGCAAGCGTTCGAGGTGACCGTGACACTAAGTGAGGTTTGGCACGAAAGGACCGTTCGTGAGGACGGGGATGAGGAGGGATAGAGGAGAGACTGGAATGAGGAGTAGCACGAGAGGAGATGGACGACCTGGGACCGTCCCTCCAACAACCATCAAACTGAACAATCACTTTTCTATCTTTTTGCCTGTCGCGTTTCTTCTTTGCGGTCGAAAGCTTCCCTGCGGAGCTGGCACCGCCACGTGATTCCGATCCGCGGATGGCGCGAGGAGCCGCCCGTTCGTTCCTCTTTCGGTGCCGCATCGTCAACCGTTCGGGTCCCTTTTCTTCGAAACCCTTTTTAAACCTTTTTCTAAAGTCTTGGATTCATTCCCCTTCTCCCCTATACATCCCCCCTCCCTCTATCTTGCAGCATTCCGTTGTCTGTATTCCCCCTTAGTTCATATGCGATAGAGCGTTGACGTTGTCCGTTTGATTGCGCTTTGATTTCCTTTCCCCATCCCCGTCTCGTCCGTCTAGTCGCATACCGCGCGATATGAGCCAAGTTTGATCTCAACCCCCCCCCCCCCCCCAGATAGTCTTTTCTTTTTTTGCCCCAACATTCCAACTGTACATTCGAATTCAAGATGAGTGTAATATTCAAAAAGATCCAAGGTTCGTAATATCCTGCTGCAGCACTTATTCAGTCCAACGTAACTGTAGAGCTAATTCGTGTCGCGCATTGTATAGCGATCCAAGACTCGCTATCCGACGACGTGCTCTTGCCCCTCAAGAGCTACAAGTACTCGAGTGTCGATAAATCCTATATCTCCAATTACATACTGAGGCATTACGTACTGCTTCCCTGGTCCGATCTATACTTCCGACCCTGACGCTGACATGGGCGGGTTAGTGGAATGCATTCGTCGAGATCTTGCCGCTTTGGCTGGCCCCCAACATGGTCACTCTCTTGGGGTTTCTGTTCATCGTGGGCAATGTGATGCTCATAGAAGTCTACATGCCTGATCTCGTGGGACCTGTAAGATGACCCCGGAAGAGCTCTCTATGAGTACAGTGAGGCTAACATGTTGTCATTGTAGGCTCCTTCCTGGCTATACTATAGTTTTGCTCTGGGCATGTGGATGTGAGTATATGGCTACATGGTTGATGTGGGAAACCACTTCTAATAATGCTTCAAGGTATTCTACGCTGGACAACGTCGATGGGAAACAGGCGCGCAGAACGGGGACATCCAGCGGTTTGGGAGAGCTGTTCGAGTAAGTGGCCATCGAAGCATAGAATGAAAGGCTCTAACTCTCTTCAGCCACGGAATCGATTCTTTGAACTGCACACTGGCTAGTCTTCTCGAGACTGCTGCCATGGGCTATGGCTCTTCTCAGCTTGGTGCTTACACTGCTCTCGTCCCTTGCCTCGCAATGTACTTTTCGACCTGGGAAACCTACCATACCCATACACTCTATCTCGGCTACTTCAATGGCCCCACTGAAGGCCTTCTTATCGCGATCGCCATTATGATTGCCTCTGGCATCTATGGCCCTCAGATCTGGAGCCGACCGATCGTTGAATTCCTGAACTACCCGCAGATCTTTGGGAACAACTCGATGAAGGATCTCTGGGTCCCCATTCTCCTCCTCTCCTTCTTCCTCGGACACCTGCCAGGCTGCGTTCTGAATGTTATTGCTGCTCGTAGAAAGCAGAACCTTCCGGTCGCGCCCGTCTTCAAGGAATGGGTGCCGATGATTGTATTCACGGGCTGCAACATTGCTTGGCTTTTCTCTCCGTATTCGACGCTTTTGTCGGAGAACCGACTAGTCCTCTACTGCTGGACCATCTCGTTTGTCTTTGGACGCATGACGACCAAGATCATCCTCGCTCATCTGTTAAGACAGCCATTCCCCCATTGGACGGTGCTGCAGATTCCGCTCATCGGCGGCGCAATCCTAGCCAACCTTCCCCGCCTGGGATTCCCTATGGTGAGCGCCTGGGTGGAGCTACTGTACCTGCGCCTCTACCTTGCGTTCGCCTTTGTTGTGTACATGCACTGGGCATTCCTCGTGATCAACCGGATCACCACTTTCCTCGGAATCAACTGTCTGACAATCCGTCGCGACAAGTCGGCAGCAAGAGACAGGGCGTATCGTGAATTTGGCGAGAACCAGCCCCTCAACCCAAACTCTGAGCCCAGCAAAGGGGGTATCAAGAGCCATTGACTATCTTCCTATGATGCGTGTAAACAACGCATCTGATGGAATAACTACCTTTGTGTTCGCGATATATATAGAATGGCTGCCCAGTTTACGATCCCTGTTGAAAACTTTGGACCTAAGACTGCGCAACTGGAGATGGCGAGAGCAGAAAACTCGGGCTTTTCTATGATAATCAGACCCGAGCTGCAGCATCATTCTCTTTTTCCTCACCTGCTGGTTACCTTGGCGACGTACATGTCCTCCCATATCTACGATTATAATGTCCCCCCTTGGATTATGCCACCAGCATTCAGGCTGATGAACTTACGACATGAGTGGATGGATGACGCGGACGCAGAACAGTCGTCCCTAGTCAAGCTTTTTCCGGTATATAGTTGGATGATAGACAGTATAATAGCTCCTAATGAAATGATAGAGTTGTATAGAGTACAAAATTTTGGTCTTGCTGTAGCACTTCATGCAGTAAAGGTAGAGCCACCAACCAGTAACTGCAGAAAATGCGCATCATATGAATGAAATGAGATATACCCATCAACGAAGATCATGCGATGGCCGAGACCGATTAATTGGAACACCTTACTAAGGTATGCTCAGATCAAACTTTGAACTTTGTGACTGCGTCTCATTCCCCAATGTGAATCCCCCAAGAAACCTAATCAAGCCCAGACCTTATCATTATTATCAGATCGAGCCCTTGCCCTCCATCCCATCGCTGATAGCATTATAGTTCTCTTATAAAAAGCGATATATCAAGATCTGGCCTATTGGCTCAATGGTAGAGCGTCGCTCTCCTAAAGCGAAGGTTGTGGGTTCGAGTCCCATGTGGGTCGGAATATTCTTTTTTGCTTTTCATTTTTTTGAACCCATCACTATAAGGGAGTTGTTCCCGCAGTGGCATGCTACACCCCACTCCACTTTACTCTGCCGCAGCTAAATATATATCTCGAGGTTCGGCTGTACGCATGTAGGAATGTTCAGTTTTTCTGGTAAAGATATGGAATGATGTATTTTTGCATGTGGCCTAGTATAGTTCAACTGTGCTTATGTAGTATTTATTCCATTGTGCGCCTTTTGTTTGTCCAGAGGTCAGAGTAAACATAAATGGGATTCTAGTCTATATAATGATGCATCTCTATAAGCTTTGTGGTCTCCACCATGACAAGGCCAAACTATCAGATCATCGGAAAAGAAATCGCCGTCGATGTACTTCGAGGTCCATCTTTTCCGGGTCCGATAGCGTATAGCATAGCACTGCATGGTGTCCATCCCCTAACATCTCCAGAGACGTGTCGCGCACACGAGCATATTCTGGAATGAAGCCTGCTACCTCACCCTCACTCTCGATGGCAACCACCTGTCGCGCCAGAGTTGCGAAGAATCGAGAGTTATATGGCCCTTCGCAATGGGGCCAAGAATCTAGAAGGCTTAATGCTCGTTGTCGAGTGGGGAGATCTCGACAACGAAGACTGGTCCAGCCTAGTGGAGCAATGATGCCTATGTCGGCTACTATCTTGGTGAGATTCTGGCCGTACTCTGCCCTCATGCTGTTGATGATGCGCTCGCAAAGGTCCACGAATGTTCGGAACTGTGGTAGATAGTAGTCATATACGAGCTCTGACAGGCTAAGTACGGTTCCCAGATCCACCATTAAGACGATATGGTGAAGTCTTATCGTATCCAAGCTGCGTGCTTCTTTGATGGTCATCTTGGATGGATGGAATCGCGCGCTGAATGCCTCAAAGGCCGAGATATGTTTCATTAGCTGAGTCCGTAGCTTGTGGTGCTCGACGGTGAGTTGAAGGACGTCGGTCATTGGATTGCAGAGCAATGACCGGCAGGTGGTTCGAAAGCGGAAGACGACATTTCCTAAGGGATCTAGCTTGCCTTTCACGTCCTCCAAGCTTTGGAAGTCGAGTTCTTGGTTGAGAATATCAGAAGTCAAGTAGCCGTTCTGTGCTCCCAATCTAGTAACGGAGCCAGACACACTGAAGAACGCGGATTGAGCATCCAGCTGTGCGAATGCTCGCAGAAGTGTCCTTTCGGCAGTAGATTCTTGGGCCGGCTGGAATACTTTTGACATTACAAGGGTACGTGCCTCGTTCCCCTTGCGGTTCGCCAAAACCTGAAGCCCGTTCTGGAGATGGGTGAATGCTTTTGCCCGATTGCCCTGAAGGTATTCAAAGAAAACAAAGGTGACGCAGCACATAAGCACAGCCAAGCGAGCCTGAGGATCGTTTGACTGCAGGCGTTTTTGTAGGGCAGAAATGGCCCTGTTGTATTGCTCGAGAGCGAAGCGATGGTGGTCATTACGATCCAAGTCAACTTTCTGCACAAGCATTCCTCTAGCTTCGGAGTCTTGATGCAAGGCCCCTAGAGCAACCACTGCATGGCATACAGCGGTCTCGGCTTGGCTCATCTGGAGTGCCAGTCGCTGCCAAAGTTCCGAATCAAAGAATCCCACCAATCTAGGCACGGTATGTGTTTGGAAGTAGGTAAAACATCGACGTTCGTCTGCACTCATTCCGGGGAGACAGACTCGAAGCTGAAATTTTGGGCGACTAGCATTGCGCAAATGCCCGCCGACACTTGTTGGAAGTCGGGTGACATCGTACCCATCACAGGTCCGTCCGGTGGAGGTGCAGTTCTTGCAGGCTCCAGGAGCCTCATCGCATTTGACTCTTCTCGTCCGACAGGTTCGACATCCGGTGCGGGACTTGGGGGCATATTGTCTCCGTCTTTGAGTTTCCATTTCGGACAGTCACGAGCAACGGGAATTCTGCAGAAGCATAAACTTGGACCCTGAGTCAGACCATCGAGTGCAGTAATTAGTTAGCTCACATGCTAGTCGATTATGGTGACTAGGGGCGTTAAGGCATAGCTTAGTAAGGTGATGGTGAAGCTCTGTTGGTCAATAGATCGCCACTATCCCTGACCGGCAGCAATAGCACTAGTGCACTTGATGCCTCTCCAACCAGCATCAGTAATAACCTGCAGCAGTCAAGGCTGAGCTTATCTTGCCTTGATAAGTCTAGTTCTGTGGGGAAGGTATATTTACTAGTAGCTTCATTCGTGGGATAATCCTTGGTTTGTTCGCCTGTGTTAGCAATGCCCACAGACATATATACCTGACTGAAATAATACGACCATAGAGTACTGAGTAACTCTTGGCTGTCATAAAGAGAGATTGTTTTGCACTGTAGATGTGACGAGCATAGTATCGAGCGGAAATATATGTGAAGGAGAGCGTAGCATTAGCCTGGAACTTAGTAATGATGAGGCTCTGGGGCACCTGATTCCCAATGATCAATCCCCCCCATCACCGCAAGGGAGGAGGATCTTTCTCCGCGACCGGCATGACTGGTCCTCTGTTCTCCACGCCAATGAGCGTGGTAAGTACTATACTAGTCGTGTTAATTCTCCGGCATTCTGTCCGGACAACCGGTGATCTCGAAACAAGTCCGGTGCTCGAGATAAGTTCTTCCCCGCTTTGATAAAGTCTGATAACTGTCGTATGTCGCTGATAAGGCGGCGGCCATGCTAATAAGTCCATACATCTAGATCTCCATGTCCACACGAGGATGTTTTGGCACGATTTATCCTTTGAAACCATTAATACTTAGTGCTCCTAATAGGTCATAATCAGCATGGACAATTCCATAAAATCTGCGGCGCCCGTCGCTCACCCCCTTGATGATAAAGGGTTAGGCAGTTTTCAGGTCCAGAATGCAGATGAATTGCGCCTGGCGCAGATGGGTACGTTTAATGTTACCAAAGCCTCTAATTCCACACATCTAACGGAATTTTATCTTGCGATACAACAGGCCATAAGCAAGAGCTGAAACGCCACTTTTCAGTATGGAGTCTCATCGGTCTGGCTGCAAATTGTACCATCTCCTGGACTGGTGAGTCAACCACTACACTCTTGTACAAACATGTATGCTAGACGCCAAACAATCTAACCCAGATTTTAACAGGACTCGGTCTGGGTCTCATCACTTCCATCAACGCCGGCGGTCCCGGTGCCCGTACGGAGCCCCGTAACTCTAGAACAATGCCATGAGATTGACCTTCCCAGTTATCTACGGATTTATCTTCGTCTTTATCCTGCAATGCTTTCTAGGAACATCACTAGCGGAATTTGTTTCTGCGTACCCAGTTGAAGGTGGGATGTATCACTGGATTGCAGCCATTGCTCCAAAGCGGTACAGCAATGTGTTAAGCTTTGCCACTGGCTGGAGCACAGTGTTCGGCTGTAAGGACCTCTACAATATCTGCTAAGTGATCTGATGCTGATGTCTATAGGGATATTTACCACTGCCTCTACGAACCTCGTTTACTCGTCGAACTTCATCGCCCTCATTGCCTTGTACAGACCCAACCTTGTTGTGCAGCCTTGGATGACTTTCGTTGCGTACCAAGGGTTCAACGTCATAACCTCTGGAATCGTCATGTTTGGCAACAAGTGGATGCCAGCAATCAACAAATTCTCATGTTGGTATAAGTTTCTCAGTTTCTGTGGCTCACCTGCTGATATGATTGATGGAACAGTATGCTACCTTCAACTAGCCTGGTTCGCCATCCTGGTCACCGTCGCAGCCACTGCTCCCAAGCACAACGACACAGAATTTGTCTTTCGAACCTGGATCAACGAAACCGGCTGGAATAACAATGTCGTCTGTTTTATAACGGGCCTAGTCAACCCTCTGTACAGTCTAGGCGGCCTAGACGGGATCACTGTATGTATTCCAGTTCGCGTTGCGTGGAAGTAGATACTAATTATAACCACAGCACATCACTGAGGAAATGCCAAACGTAAGTATCACACTTTAGCTCCTGATCAGAAGCTAAACCATACACTGCAACAGCCAGGAAGAAACGCTCCTTTAGCCCTAGGTACGCCAATCAACTCCGTTCCTCTAGAACTAAACTAACGCAACTGTCTCCTTAGCTTGCACACTCGCCATAGCATTCGTCACCGGCTTCACCTACCTCCTCAGCCTCATGTTCTCCGTTCAAGACTACGCAAGCCTCGCCGACTCCCCAACAGGTCTTCCCCTCGCAGAGCTCTTTCGCCAGGCAACCCAAAGCCGCGGGGGCGCCTTTGCCCTCGTCTTCCTTCTCTGGGTTGCAGTGGGACCATGCGTGATCGGCTCACAGCTGAGTATGACTAGACAACCTCTTCCAAGCTACGAACCAACCAGTCATGTATTAACGATGTAACCCTCATAGGCACCGGACGAATGCTCTGGGCATTTGCCAGAGACGATGGACTTCCTTTCTCCAAATTGTGCGCTTCCATGTCAAATCATATAATCGGACTAACGGACACTAACCCTATCTTCAGCTGTTCCAAAGTCAACAAGCGATTCGGAGCTCCCGTCAACGCCCAGCTATGCGTGGGC